CTTACTGATGCAGAGTGGTGCTGAGAAGCCAAGCAACCAGAGGTGACACAGCAAGAGATGTGAAGAGATGTATTCCCTAGACTAGAAGGGGTAGTGAGGGAGGTAGGGCTGCTAGCTACCTACAGAGGAGATGGGGAATCGACGAGAAGATCAAGTCTGAGGTTTCCTGCCTCAGACTCCCTACTATATATACTAATACAATGGTGCACAGACCAGGTACCTATTGACCATCATTTGGTCAGAGTTCTCTGCCTCATGTCCTACCCTCTGACCTGCCTCATGGTGACCTTACGACTAATACCTGAGTCGTGCCGAGTCCGGACCCCTCCCAATGAGTAAGTGCTCCTGCTGTCACATCAGTCACCTGCCTGTGAGTGAGGATGGGCACTCCTGACCGTCACGAGGTCTGGGGTTCGATCCTGGCCCCTCCACTTTCTGATACGAGTTGTCCGCGGTCAAGGTGAGCGTCTGTCCCAGTACACATGACCCCCAGGTCACGTGGCACGAGAAAACTGTGACAACCACATGAGTAGTACAGCCTTGGTTATTGCAGTAACCGGCTGTGCCATTCCATATTTTGTGACGGCTGTGTTAGGCAAGCTGTGTAAACCAGTACCTGTTCAACAGGCACAGAGTACAAGGGACATAGGACAATAGCGAATGGGAAAACAAGGGAGCTGTTGTCCATATGCAAACAAGGGGAAACCACGCTGAATAGAGAACAAGGGGTGAACATACAAGGCAGGGGTCTGAATCAAAAGGAAAATGTAGCCCCGTGGGGGCGGTTTGTGACAGCATTTCAGTTGCTGGAAAAAGCTCCAATACCACGTTCACTGGAAAGGCTGGGGCAACAAGCATAACAGCTGGGAGCCGGCAGAAAACCTGGTGCATGCTCCTCAGCTGGTCAAGAAGTTTTACGCCAAGTTCCCTTCAAAGCCTCAATCATGAGGACACTATCCTTTGGAGGGGTGTACTGTCACAAACCGCCCCCATGGCACAACATTTCTCTTCCGATTCAGACCACTGCCTTGTATATTCACTCCTTATTCTCTATTCAGTGTGGTTTCCCCTTGTTTGCATACGGACAACAGCTCCCTTGTTTTCCCATTCGCTATTGTCCTGTGTCCCTTGTACTCTGTGCCCATGGCAACGCCATTGTCCCTTAGTGCCCATTGTTCATGATAAACTCGGGGCTGTGAAGACAAAGATTAGATCCGACTAGAGTCAAAGCAAGATCTTTAGTCAGTAAAGAAAGACTATATTTCAGCAACGAACTGTATCTAGAGTCGAAGCAAGACTACAAAGGTTAAGTAAGTAACTACAAGTTAGAGGTAGATATAACGAAGTACTCACTCTTCAGTCAGTAAGGAAAGACTGAAGAGGGAGGACGAAATCTGAAGTCCTTATATACTACAGAGAAGTGCCCATGACTAATCAAAGAGTGGTTAGTCACGTGTACTATAGTGCAATGAATAATACAACGACGAAAGAATTGTGATGTATCACACCATAGGATGAGTAAGGGATGAGTAAGGCATAGACCTGTCTAGACCATTCTGGAGTAGTACGGATTGTCCTAGACAGTACCAGAAGAGTCCGGAAGCATAGCTACAGTACATGAGCAGAGAGTCCCAAATATGATAACATACTACATAAGCGACCACAGCTAAGCGCTAGGAGACGTATAGCCTCGTGTAGTCCGAACCGGATAAGTCCAAGTTCAACAGTTCGTTTCTTGTATATAGCTGGATCCCTTGCTACCTAGAGACTCTAGTTTCGACCTCTTGTCTCCAGATAAGTCATTGTGTATTTTGCTCTGTAGATACTTTGCTCAATACACATCTTCATCTGTAAAAACCACCTTTGCGAATTACACCTATTCAGTACAAATTAGCTCTTAATAGACACAGTAGTTGGATAGTGAAAAATAGTGCAAAATTGAGAGGTCCCCAAAAATAATTGCACTATTTTGCACTATTAATGCAAATTCGTGCAAAGTAGCACTATAGTAGACGGAAATAGTGCTACAGTAGACATTGATAGTAGTGGATAGAGTGGGTCTATGATTTCTGACTGGTGTAGAGATGCTTTCTATGCCCTCAAAATCATCTGTTTATAAGCCCCAGATGCATTTAAAGTGCTGAAAAAAATATGTCCTCAGCCTGTCTTGAACACTCAACCTCACCTTCATATGACACCTGTTCCAAGGTGGTGCTCTATGCCACTGCACCACCAGAGCTTATATAAATTCTTCACAAGTACCATATATATCCATTTTTGCTAGACTTAGACAAAGTGGTGACACCTCGCCTTGAGATTCACCTGCTGAGGCTTGCATATGTGTAATGTCTGGGACTATATATATAATATGGAGTGTGCTATAGAGTATGCTTCATGGTATAAATGCTGTGCTGACAGCCTAATCCTATACATGATAACAAGTTGTATGTTGAGTTGTGCCCTCAAATATAAGGCAGCTATCATGGTGATTTTGCAGCTATAGAGGTGTGTAATGCTTGAGTTGAGAACTATGAGCTATAAATAAAGGATCATCATCTTATTTGAGTCTCCCCTAAATGAGTAGTGCTAAAATAGTGCAAAATAGTACTATAGTAGTGCAAAATAGCGAAAATTAGAGGACCACATTTGCAGTAGTGCTATAGTAGTATCATGTTGGCACTACATGGCACTGTAGAAAAAGTGATAGTGAAGAGCAGTTATAACTAGTACCAAGTATACTAATTAGTGCTTAGTTGCACTACTGAAGAAGTGCATCTGAATAGTAGTTCTAATGTAGATGTCATCTCTGCTAACACTTGCTAATATAGATGAGATTATCTGAATAGTGATAATTAGCGTCAATTCGCAAAGGCTGTTTTTCCAGATGGATGATGGGCACTCCCAGCTTTCACAAGATCTGGGGTTTGAATCCGGCTGCTTCAGTTTCCGATACAAGTTGTCCGTGGTTGAGGTGAGTGTCTGCCTTGGTGCACATGATCCCCAGGTCATGTGGCATATGAAAACTCTGACATATAGGTAACCTATGCTCAGCCTTAGACACTAATCCACAGATCCCGATCATTGAGGATCTCACTCTAGGTTTTTGTGGATTGATCTGCAAGATGAGCTGTATACACATTCAACCCTACTATGAATGTTGTATATATATATTCTGTTACCCTTACTGTACCCTAGATATGTGTCATGCTGTTATGTCTCTATGTCACCACAATATATATGTGTCTTACTCCTTTTGAATGCGTCATCTGGAGGTTCTAAACACAGAAATAATGCATATACCTAGTTGCCACCGAGAGTACAAGTGATTGAGTGTGAGTGCATAGAATTACAGGAATTGCACAAAACTGAGTCAACCGACTGTCTTGTTTGCCTTTGATTGGCTCAATTTCTTTTAAAAAGCTTCACAGGCATGGGACCTACTTGAATTAGGAGCTAAGGGGATTCACTACAACTTTTGGCCCTCAGCCCAATTGATTTTCACACTGATATGGAATGGATACCAAGGGATTTATGCAGACTCAAGGCCATTCATGATGCACTTTTGCTGATGTGTAGGTCACACTAGGGTGACAAGCTGTGACCTGATCACAGACGGAGAGCGCGCATGGTCCTGGAGACCCAAATCGACGCCGGTTTGTAGATCGGCTGCAGCCGACCAGGGCCTTAGTAGCAGCACATGGATGACCAATGTGATGAAATGTGCTTGTCATGCATTGTCAATTGGGGATCGTTCTCGGAGATGCGCCTGCGGTGACCGTCGAGCGTTGGGAAGTAGCTGTGTATGTCGCGATAGCTGCCGCTGCAGCGTGTGCCGGGATCGATGGGCACTGGCAGTGCTGATGGGTTCGTACTAAATAGTCCTCTCCGCCGTCCTCAGCTCTGCCCAACTCGCCCGCGTCCGCTGCGGACAACAGCCTCGACATCGCTCTCCAGCCACACAAAACCCGACCCTCTAAGCCTCGCCTCTCGCCTTGTCTCCTCTCGGTGCAATATAACACATGGCTGCCCCTCCTGTCCCACCACGACCTTTTGACGACTACGACGCCCCGCACCGTCAGGACGACGCTCCTCCCGCCGTGCCTCCTCTCCCGCCCGACTTCAATCCCGATCAGTATTCATCTGGGCCTCACTACGAGGACCCCCTCGTGGCGCCCCGTCCTCACAAGCTACAGCCCGATCTTCCCAAGAACGTGCGTACCATCTCGCTGCTCCTCTTCCCCCCCTCTCTACCGCTCGCATTCACCAACATTTTCCCCTCCACCTGTCCCAGATGGCACAATCCTTGGATGAGCAAGCGTCCGTGCCACCTGTTCAGCCAGGCCACATCCTGAACGCTTCCTATCCCCAACCTGCGTTCACGGGCAGCTTTGCTACTTCTCCTCCCACCAACGACTACCTCGGCTATCTTCCCCAAGGACCTGCATTGTCTCGAGGCCCTAGCCCTCTGCCTCCTCCCCAGGGTTCGAACTGGTCACCCTGGTCGCCTCCTCCCCCTCAACAATCCATGACGCCCTCCTTCCCGATGCCCTTCGCTTCCCCCGGTCCTTCCAGTGCCCAGCACGAGCATCAGAGAAGTTTGTCAGGCTCTTTCGCGAACTTGACCCTGGGGCCCCGTACCTCATCTCCGCTTTCCGGTCCCTCTGGCGCGCGCGATGGGCCCCCTTCCCTCACCGCTCCACTTCCTACCCTTGCCACTCTTTCCGTGCAACAAACCGCAATCCAGCAGCCAAATGCTGACCCTTCCCGCAAGATCGTCTGGTGCCGAGACGTTCTCTCCCTCGTCGATCGTGCGCAGCAACTTCACGCTCGCTCTAGCCCGACATCTACCGACCCAGTCGTGGGACCTGCTCAGATCAATGACCCCGAGCTGCAAAAGCTCGTGAACGTCGCAATCCCCATCCTACTACAGATTGCTTCCCAACAGCCACAAGGTTCCCTCCCTCCGTATGTTGCCGAGGCCATTTACATGCGTGCCATGTGCGCATCGACGGGAATCTACCCACAGTTCATCCCTCACGACCCCAGAACTGCCTTCCGGGATTTCGAGCGAGCCGCCAAGTCCGGCTACCACGCCGCTTGGTTCAAGCTCGGGCGCGAATACGAGAACTTCGGGGATCTTCAGCACGCGAAGGAGTGCTTTGAGAGGGGTACGAAGCATGGCGTGGAGAGCTGTTTCTACGTGAGTACTGCTCCATGCTCTGGCGACGACAGAAACTCGAGTGACTGTTGCACCCTCAGCGTCTTGGCATGGCACATCTGATGGGACAACTTGGGTTCACCGCCGACCCACAGGCGGCGCTTCCACTGCTCAATCGCGCTGCGACCCTCGCTACGATCGAAGTGCCGCAACCCGCGTATGTTTATGGCCTCTTGCTCCTCAACGAATTCTCGCACGTGTCGATTCCCCCGCAGCTCTTCCAACCTTTCCTTCCCCCTGGTGTAACGCCTCCGGAGGAAGCACGTCGACATCTTGAGCGGGCGGCGTACCTCAACTTCGCTCCTGCCCAATATAAGCTTGGTCACGCGTATGAATTCGCGACTCCACCCTTCCCATTCGATGCCCTCCTAAGCGTGCAGTACTATTCCCTCGCCAGCCAGCAAGGGGAGATTGAGGCCGACATGGCACTTTCCAAGTGGTTCTTGTGCGGTGCCGAGGGAGCGTTCGATAAGGACGAGGGTCTGGCATGGACTTTTGCAGAGAAAGCAGCCCGCAAGGGTCTGCCGAGCGCCGAGTTTGCACTCGGCTACTATTCTGAGGTGGGCGTGGGTGGCCCGAGAAATATCGACGCCGCCCGCAAGTGGTATCAAAAGGTGCGTCACTTGGCTATGCACGATTATCAACCCGAGAGGCTGATTGTTATCCCTGGCTCGGCAGGCCGCGCAGCACGGTAATGCGGATGCTACAGAGCGCCTGCAGGCATTGGCTCAGCCGACGCCTCAAACCCTTTCACGTGAACAACACGAGAATCTTACGGACTCGAAGCTTGTGCGAAAGCGAACCCAGGCGAAACAGCGCTCTGAGGCCGTCCAGGGCCCGGCTAGTGTGACGCAGCCTATGCCTGCAGCGCGCCGCACTCAGATTGTCAACAACATTCGGAAAAACTCATTGCGTACCGGCCCTCTAGGACCTTCGGCACACCCTGCAGGAGCCGCAACAGGCCCACCAGGTTATGACAATGCGCCATTGACGAGTTCTCCGTCGAATCTAGGACAGGCTGCACCTCTCCCTCGTGTTGACGAATACGGAAGCGGGCCACATAGGGCGTCCGGTCCATCCAGTGGACCCACATCACCGATGCCCGCTGGCATGAGTACTCGGCCGTACAACAGCAACGTACATCCGAATGCTCCTCCTCCCGGCCAGCCCCAAACCCAGCATCAACGGCTCCAATCAGCCGGCCCTGGGCCTGCAAGCTCACCTCGACCTGCGGGGACTCCGCCCCTGCGTCGTCTTGGTGGCACTCCTCAGACACAGAGTCCATCGCAAACCGCGCCTCAGGCTGTGCAGCCACCAGCGCGACCACCCACGAAAGGTCCGCAGACATTTGCAGAGATGGGCGTCGCGACTACGAAGGTCGAAGACGATTCGAACTGTGTCGTCATGTAAGAGTCGATGGTATAGCAGGAAGCGTGTGCGAGCCACCGTCTTCATTCATGGACTATTGCTGATATATGTTAGTACACTCTGGAATCGGTACGCAGGTTAGGACTTTATCCCCATGTCTCCTTTGTATTCAATAGCGTGCGTACACTAGACAAATTGAACGGCACTGAGTTGGGTGACTGTTACATCGATTGCTACTTGTACAACTCACAGGGACTCGGTCTATATAGATAGGCTGGACCTTCGCTCTTTAGAGAGAAGAGGCTTCGGGCTGCACAAGCAGTCTACCCGGCTGCTCGCCCTAAATTGATTTGTCAGCGAGCCGATGGCGAGATCAGTAGGCTCTGCCGAAAGTCCCGGTGATCGTGATGCTCTGAACACCAAGTCTATATCATCTGCGACTCCGCAGTTTCTGGTGTAGAACCGAAGGCCATCATGTCCGGGACGCAAAGGGTGGTGCGATGGTATCCTCCAGCGTACGACATCCGAGTAGAAGATGCTCCGATCCCACAGTAAGTCAATCGTCTGCGGAAGCACTGGCGCTCCGGTCACCGGTAATCCCTTCCTAGGATCATTGACGACGATGATGCGATAGTCAAAGTCATAGTATGTGAACACAAAACCCCCGACGTTATCAGCTGAAACCTTCGCCGTCATAGCTAGCGGGACTATGTGGAAGCGACTTGCATATCTACCGAGGGCATGAAGACGTTGATCGCGAGTACGTCTACAGCATCTTGGGCTTCGACCGGTCATACTCACACGCAAAGAAGCCTGATATGTGGCCATGAAATTGTCGGAGAAGTCGTCGCACTTGGCTCGAGCTTCTGTCCTGACTCAATTGGTCGACCTGAATTGTACTCGACGCTCAAGGTAGGGGACAAGGTTGTGTCTCCATTCACTGTCTCGTGCGGGGAATGCCAGTTCGTCTTCTTCCTCATGAATGCATAGGCCTTTAGAATTGACATGACGCATAGCTTCTGTCGCATTGGCTTCACGTGTCGATGCAAGCACTCCTGCCTGTTGGGCATTCCCGCTCTTCCAGGAGGTCAGGCACAATACATCCGTATACCCAAGGCAGGCGGGACCCTCTTCAGCCTCAACTCCCACCATGTGTCGTCCTCGAGACCAGTACCGGACTTATCCACGCTCTCAGATAGTTCTCTTCTGCTTCTTGCAGACATACTACCGACTGGAGCGTTTGCAGCTATACAGGCACTTCAACATCCGAAGGTTGCGCCAATTCTGATAGGAGCAAAATATCCATTTGGTGGTTTCGTCGCCCATCGAGTTACCGCCCGTGACCAAACATCGGTCGGGCTGCAAGCAGAAGATCGGATTCTTACCATCGGTATTGTAGGACTAGGGCCCGTAGGGATTGTACGTACGGAGATTACGTGGTTCCTCTTGGTATCTGACATCTGTCTGATTAGTGCGCGACTGTCAGTCTGCTCGACATGTTGTCAGGACTAGCGGAGAGTCAAGGGTTGGTGTATCAAATCATCGCGATCGACCCACTCGAGTCCCGTCGCAGCAAGATGGAGGCGGTCTATGACACCATTCATTCTGGCGGAAAAGCCTGGACTGGGCGTTTCGCTGTCGCTTCCATCGACGATGGGAAGAAGCTGTCAGCGGAGTGGACCGACGGCGCCGGATGCAACGCAGTTCTCGAGGTATTCGCACCGTCGTCAGCTATTCCCCGTCGTCTCCGTGCGCTGACTCATCTTGGCAATAGGTCGTAGGAAACAACAACGCGCTCACGTTGTCTTACGAGATCGTGCGACCGTTCGGGATAATCAGCTCGGTTGGCGTGCACCAGGAGCCCCCTCTGCCGTTCAACGGACGAGGGGTCTACGACAAGAATGTCTCCTTTGATTTTGGTCGCTGCCCTGTCCGAGCGATGTTCCCGATAGCAGTGGACATCTTGCTCAAGCGACAGGATGTGTTCGGGAGTGTCGGGGAGAAAGCAAGTTTGATCGACAAGATCGTTCCTTTGAACGAAGCACCGGATGCATACGAGGATTTTGACAAGGGAAGGTGTGGCAAAATTCTGTTTGATCCATGGCGATGACTACTCTAGCCGACACGGCGCCCCGACTGGCGGGTGCCTCGGAGCATAAAGAATATATGTTGACACGTCGATCATCGCGAGATGCCTATCAGTCCCATGTATCAAATCATGTCGGAATTCTGGGAGGTTCTTGGACCACGCACCATCATTGTCCGGTTACACGTCAAGCGTTCTGCAGTACACCTCTACCTCCTCTTTGCCCTTCTTGCCCACCTCTTCCTCTATAATGTGTCCCATCGCTCCTTCCACCTGGTCAACCGCTTCACGTTCTGACGCAAATTCGCGTGCTAAGACCTCGCGGCCCATTGAGGCATCCACATTCGCGAGAGGGCGTAGACGACACAGCGCGAGATAGCTCACGCCAGACACTACTGAGCTCACATACCACCCAATATCGTCGCATCTAGCCGCTCCACGGGGAACTGCTACTCCGAATGTCCCGATGAACCCCACAACAGGTATCATCATCCCCGCGACATACGCCATTGCAGCGTTAGGATTGATGCCGCGCTTGTACATATAGCGCGATCCAGGCTCGGAAGAGTAGGCGTCGTTGACATGAATGTTGCCTTTGCGTACGATCCAGTAGTCGGTAATCATAATGGCAGCGGTTGGTCCCATGAAGATGCCGTACCCGTTCAAGAACGCCAAGAAACCGTGAGCGGAGGCCAGTATTTTCCAAGGCATCAGTGTGAGAGATATGATGCAGCAGAACCACATCCCACGCGTGAGATTGAAGTAGGTAGGGAAGAGTGCGGTGATGTCGCTTGCGAAAGGAAGCAGATTCGCGCCTAGAATGACTCCGAAGTTGAAAAGGGCAGAGGAGAAGGCGAGGAGGAATACGCCTAGACGGGCAGGTCCTGTCCAGGAATGTTCGAGGATGGCGTCGTAAACATCCCACTGGTTCCATAGAGTTACACTCCATGCTTTTTGCAAACAAGAAGTGCCGAATATGCCTATCATTCCCCCCTGTCCCGAGCGGTGAGCTAGAGTATAGGCAAATCTGAGTTCGCTCACAATTGCTGCGGGAAATGGGACGAAAACGATGTGCGTCCACATGGTAGCCGACGGGTCTGTAGCGTAACGGGCGAAGTCCGGCATGTTGGCAATGAAGGTGGACTGCATTTTCACATACGTTTAGTGTGAAGCAGCCTTCATACACCAATAGCTCGAATCATGGCACGTACCCAATTGCCCATTGCAGAATTTATGGCGGCGACGATCACCCAAACCAGTGCTGAGCCGGTTGGACGTGCAGCTACGTTTGATAAATCTGCGTCGGATGCGAGGCGACCACGACTTTGCACCACACAATATATCAGAAGACCGATCACGGAAGGGGGCAAAAGCCACGCCTTCAGGGTGTACAGCCATCTAAGCCTGTTTGGACGTAGGGAACAGAAGGGCAGTTCCACGGCCCAAAAGATGAGGAATCCGAGAAAGCGTTGCAGAGTAGTGCCTACAGGTGGAGGAAACTGCGCGCCGAGATTGTCCCAGCGATGTCCAACGATGCAACGAAGCATCGTCGAAACGAATGCGCCACCTTGGAAGTCTGAGTATGAAGGTGAGTGGATGAAGGGGCAGGATTGAAGTAAGGAGACGGTCTTACTCAACACAGACACCCAGAGCATGGCACACGCCCCACGAGCGATGACAGGCCAGTAGTGACCGTACATGCCGAACGACGTTCTGAGCACGACAGGGTACCCGACGTGGTAGTTTGCAGCAGCGCGAGAATTGAAGGCCATGCATAATCCGGACACTCCTGCTGCAACCCAAACGACAATAATAGCCTGCCACGACGTGAGCCCAGCACCGACAATACTGGAACCGAGGGTCCTGTGAGAGAGATGATATGCGTGAGTGCGACAGCAAGGCAAACGGCAGGATCTCGACCCACCAATTGCCAAAGCCTACACCAAACCAAAACAAGCAGAAGTGATACCACTGCCAATTCACCATATGCGGTGGAGATGGCTTCAAATCTTCGTTCGTCCACGAATGCGCGCCTGATGCATTCCCCTCAGTACGAATGTACGCAAGAAATGCATCGTTGGAGCGAAAGGCTTGGCGTAGGCGGATTGCCCATCGAGATATACAGTGCTTCGCCGTGGTCAGTGCTAGACAACGCATGAGGAATACGAGAGGCGAAAAAACCACACCTTGGACAAGCTGACACCTCGGCGTACCCAGGGTTTTATCCTACCACAAAGACATCACATGTACAGCATAGAAGCGAATACCTGTCGCGGTGACAGTATATATATCGCGACGAAGAAGCCCGTGGAGAAGACCATCATGGGGCTACCGTTCAGAGATAAGACAATATCTCCGGGTTGGAACGTCCCGGATTTACGTTCCTAATCCGTTCAGATGATGGCGGTCACAAACCGTTCTCATGCATGAGACGAGAAGTTGCGACTCGATTGCAGAGCGGTCGTCCCCAGCATACGGTGGTCCATAACCCTCCCATTCCAGGACGCGTAGCAGTAGTCGATATAGGATTCCAGTGAGTGCTTCGCATACAAGCAAGAGAGTCAGCAAGGGCGGATGGCGCGAACATTACAAGGAAGCACCTGCGAAGCTACTACTGTCTCCAACTATGCCTATGAATGGCCTTGTAGAATACGATGGTATACGATGGCTCAACTTCCATAGTAAAGCGCGAATCATACAGGAAAATCGGCACGCAAATGTGGGGACATGATGCACTGGCACAACCCGACGACCGGTATCTGGAATTGCATCCCATGCCTTCGCCAATCGAAAGAGAAACGCGAGCACCTGGCCAAGTACCGGACCGCTATCACAGATCGGATCCGACTGCGTCCACGACGTACAGCACCTGCTGTGGCCTGACAAATAGTCCTCGCGACTCCGAAGTGGACATGTCGGACACGGCCGGCGATACGCTCCGGAGTCTCTTCGAACGATCGATGCCGAGCTGATCGCCCTCGCGCTTGAGGCTGCCCTTCATCCCGTCCTTTCCGAGCGTGCTCGACCATTCATGTCTCCGCCTCCGAGCCATCGTGTCTTGCCCGAAGTCCCACTCTGACGCAGCCCCGATGTCGAAATAGCGTATGCCACCCCACGTCCCATCGTGCCACGGGCGTCCGTCCAGCTTGTCTCCTGGCCAAGCATCATTCATCGGGACTTCGACGCCCACCCAAGGTCCGAGCTCGCCCTCGACCTCTCCGATATACCTCGCATACGCGCGGAAACGAGCCTTCTTCGATGAGATGATGCAAGGGATGCCAATCTCGAGTGTCGCGCCGCGGGGTTGCTTCGCTGCGGGAGCAGATTCACGAATCGTGTCAGCTGAGCTCTTTCGCTTGAGAGACTCCCGGACCGTCGATACGCTGCTCGAGGAGACGACACTTGCTTGCTTCTCATGAGAGATAGCCGGAGATTTGGCTTTGGCTTTGATCGTCCCAACAACGTCCTCCTCGTCTTCGGGAGGCAGGGGCTTCCCATTCGCCTTCGATGCAGGCGTCGACGACTTGGAGGGCAACGCAGGAGCGTCCGACACCGATCGTGCGGTGGACTTGCGAGTAGCCGTGGACTTGGTCGATATCGTCGAGCGCACGGATGCGGTAGAGGCGGTTCGCTTTGCCACGGGACCAGTCTTGGAGGTGTCAATTGGCTTCCCTCGGACAGATGGTGTAGTCCTTGAGTCCACCGACGGCGGACGCTTAGGTATGCGCGGGGTGCTTGCACCCGTTGTGTGGACACTCGATGTCGACATCGCGGATGATGCAGACGTCTTGCGCGTCCTCCCCACACTACTTGGCGTGAGTTCCGAACGCGCTGTCTCGAACGCGGTGGAGTTCTCGCTTGCTGTGGTAGCGGATGAAGCTCGAGAGGAACCGGACACCGTTCTGGGAGTGGAAGGGCCTGCGCCACCCTTGCGGATAGTCGAAGCAGTCGATCGTGTAGATCTGATTGAGGCGGCCACGGACTTGGGTCGAGGGATTCGATCAACAGCAGCCGTAGAATGTATGGACGACGCAGTGCTCTTCCGTACGCTCGCGGTCGAAAGGCTATTTCGAGGGACTGGGCTTGGACTGGGAGACAAGGGAGACTTTGCTCGTTCCGAGCTCGCAAGGCTGACGCGTGAAATAGAAGGGGTGTTACTAGCAGGAGTGAGTTTCGAATCCGGCCGAAGGCTGCTCGGCGAGAGCGGTACACGACGAGAGACGGTAGTAGTGGTGAGACGTGAGGTCGTGGAGTGCGAGCTGCGCGCGATTGAGCGGATCGACGCAGCGGAGGAGTTTGCGACCTCTCTGCTGCCTGCCACAGACTTGGCAAGGCTGCGTGTCGAATGCAGACTAACGGTTTCCGAATCATCTGCTTTGGATGCAGGCCCATTCCTGACGGTAAGCTTCCCGCCCCTGGCTGTCGAGGATGGGCTCGACGGCATCAGGAGCTCATCTTCGTTTTTGAGGTCCAATTCTGCTCGCGAACGGGTCAGTGCATCAGCAGGCGTCGAGCATAGGAACGCGTGAGTGAACATGCCTTGAGCGATTTCTTGCGCAGCCCAGCTGTGTAGGCCTGCAAAGCCATCGTCTTGTTTCATGGTGAGCCAGCGCCGCCGGATGTAACGCACGATGTCCATGCGCGCTTGCTCGACCTGCACGCGAACGTGCGAGGTTGAGGATAACAAAGCGGCTTCCGGATCGGCCGGGTGGGGTCTCAACAGTACGGAGTCGACGACAGCCTGACGAAGGCGTGTTTGGTCAGCCGAAGGAAGTAAAAGGTCAGAAAAACGAACCTGGTACGCCATCGCGGCGTTCTTCTCGTTGAGCCCCCTGCGTAGAGAGTCGAGTAACATCTCGACCTTTTCGCCATCCTCAAACCTGACACCGTCGGCTTCCATAATCTCGATCCATTCGGGCTGTTCAAAGCACTCTACTGCCCGCGAGCATACGACATCGTCGATCGTCTTGCGCGCAGACAAGACCATGTCTCGCACGGTCTCGCCCCAGGTTTCGATGACAGTATCGAGCTTTTTGAGCGCAGACTGAGATGCCGCTAGGAGCGCGAAGACATTCATCGGTGTCGTGCGCTTACCCAAGCCCTTGAGGAGATTATCGCGGGTCTTCTGGGGTAGCGCAGCGAACTCAGAGGTGCACCAGCCCTCTCCAAAGAGACCGACGAGTGCACGACGAGCGCCACGTTCTAGGTGCGGATTCTTGACGTCCTCAGATACGGAGAATTCGAGCACGCGCGGGGCGCGGCGTGCGCACTGACGACAACGGCAACCCCCTGTACCCCATTTGCCACCAGTGATGGCCTCGTACTCGGAGAATTCGAGGAAGGCATGGAAGAGACCGTGCATCATCTCCTGGACGATGCGCGCTTGAATCTCATCATAGAGGGTGTCGAGACCAAGGTAGGTGGCCGATCGCATGATGTGGAAAGCGGTGTCGAGGTCGAAGGTGCGATGGGAAAATATGAGTGTCCCCGTGTAGATGAATCCGAGCGTAAAGTGAAGAGATGCAGGTGTGAACGGAGGGGAGGGAAGGTTTAGCGTCAAGGGCTCGCCAGGAGTGGATTTGGCAGCCCACTGGAGGAGTTGGGTATTGAAGTAGGGAGATCGAGAGACAAGGATGAAACGGTGAGAAGAGAAGATCGCAGTAGTACTCTCGTGGTTAGTGGATGAAAAGGTCCCGGTAAGGGCGATGCGAACGTCCGAGTAGAGTCGCGATCGCCACATGAACACGAGGTCTTTCCGTAGCTTGTCTAGTCTGGCCTCCTCGCCATCGCCCTCCTCCGAGTTCTCGGCGGCGTCGAAAAGGAACTCGAAAGCGTGGCCAAGAAGGCCCTTTCCGGTGTACAGGTATTCGAGCTCATTGGAGAAGAGTGTTGGGTTGATGTTAGTTGGAAGACGGAGGAGAGCACCAGCATGAGTCGAAGGGGAAGGGGACGTGACACGGAAGGGAGAGGGGGAAGGAGAACGCGAAGGAGAGGAGAAGTCGACGCCAAGAGTCAAGGAGAGTGCAGACTGGGCAGGAAGCGTGCCAGTCGGGGAAGAAGAATATGGCAAGGGGGAGGCGGCTGGAGGAGGCTTGAAGGAAAAATACCGGGCTTGAAAGGACGGCGGTGCACGAGCGTACACGACAGCTGCAACATTGACCTCATGTCAGAGGGCTGATATGATATGCATCGATGAACTCGAAGAGCGAAACACAAGGCAAATGACCACCTCGCCCAATGTAGGTGCTGGCACCGTCGATGGACGAGGAGCAGGACATGAACCGACTGGCTGAGCCAGACAGGTGTGGGAGGAACGAAGTGTGGAGGATGAAGAGAGAGCAGCGGCGACGCACCTTTGTGGCCCCAGACCTCTTCTACTCCGCTACCGCTGTCTGACTGAAGCTCCCATACGACATCTGCGAAGCGGTCCTTTGCGTGATCGAACAAGGACTGAAGGTCGTCTTGCCAGTGGGTAGTCGAGTTTCGCGCTGCCTCGGTGAGGCCTGGCGGAGCAGGAGTTGTCGGGGCCATCGCTGTTTGGACGGAGGGGGCGTGGAGCGTAGAGAGAGAAAAAGAGATGGCTCGGGGAGGCGGGGAAGGGCGTGGGCCCGAGAGGAGGGCGAAAGGGAGGACGGGGAGACGGGGAAGGGGAAGGGGGTATCGGGTGGTGAAGAGAAGAGAGCAGTCGGCAAGCAGCAGCCACCGTCAGGCGACGACGCCGACCCTGGCCCCGTCCGAGCTGCCTGATTTCCCACTCGTCCTCCACGAGGCTCCCTGCTGCGCCCTCCCTCAGCACACAACACTCGTCGTCCACCGGTCTTCTTCGCAACCCCGGTCTTGTCAACGCACACGATTGCTCACCTCAACGACGCGTCCGTCCCACATGCCTCCAATGTAAGCCCGCAGTCCTCTTTCTCCCGTGGTCGCTGACGATGATCCCAGTCGGGACAAGTTCACGATACATTCCAAGGCAGTCGTCTGCCAAGATGTCGAGCTCAAAGGCGACATCACCATCGGTGCCGGCAAGCCACCCATGCCCCTCCCCTGTCCGTTCGCGCGTGCACTCATCCAAGTCTAGGAACGATTGTCCACCCCAAAGCCACTATCTTCGCTATAGCCGGCCCCATCGTCATCGGCTCGGGCTGCATCATAGAGGAGGGTGCGATCATCGTCAACCGGTCCGTCCATTGCCCCCTCCACCTCCCTCTCTCCCTGGGAATTCACCCGTGGTAGGCGCAAGGAAGTCATGCGGATAGGCGACGACAATCTGTTCGAGATCGGTTGCAGTGAGTGCCATCTACTTGCTCTGTCGTCTCGCATGACAGCGATAGGACCGCGGCGTATGCTACGTTCTGTCGCTGCTTGTCTGTGCCCATTTCTTTCACCGCTCAGCCTCCGGCAGACATACTCATGTCCATTTGCAGGGGTCGAGTCGCCCACCGTCGGCAACTGCAACACAGTCTGCACCAGGGCTCGTGTCCACCACACTCTGCGCATGTCTTCATACTGCGTCATTGGAGCAGGAGTGCTCGTCGTACCGACAGAAGATGAGATGCTCGACGACTACACCACCATATACGGTCCCTCTGCTGAACGACGTATCTGGAGCGGCCGCGGCAAGGTCCAGGAGATGGACTTGCGCAGGAAACATGCCGAGTACTTGAGGGAGATGCTCCCCAAGTTCAACCGGCTCAGGCGAGGTGATGGGACGTAGGTGCCCACGCACAGTTGTTTCCACATACACTAAATCATGATTATATGCGTTCATACGACCTACATAGCAGTTGGGTAGGTCGTGTTCAGAGATCTTTCTGTGAATCAATACCATACCTGCGCACCAAAATCTCTGTCGTCAATGAATACTTCCCGGACTGCTCTCATTCCGCGTCTGATATGATTTCATCGTTTGTTCCGGGAAACCGGCTGCGGCAACAATCATCAACGCTGGAATACTCTCCACCAATGACCGGTGAATACGTATCCATAACATGTACAGTCGATACTATACACACTGATGATACGCGACAAACATCAAGCGGAGGAACAGACAATGGTGTCATTGAGGCAACCAGTCCAGAAACAAGTGATGTCTACGGAAATATGGAGTAATGTACGCATCCACTGCGTTCTTGGCTTGGAGTCAGAAACCCCGTCCACAAGGGAAGAGTGGAAGAAAGAAGCTTGATTGACGAGGATGAAAGTTGATATATGCCCCGTTTCCCCTAACCATCAACCACTGAGACAGGATGACGTAGTGAATATGAGGCAAGGACGTCAACGGCCATATCACAAACAAGGTCAGACTAGCACACACGTCAAACTTCGATACACATCGCTAGTACAGACCAACACCGATGTTGTGGATGGTGGATAGTATACATGACATAATCAAGCGCGAAGCTGGGCACGGAGGTTGTTCTCCAAGTTACCCCGGGGACGGATGTACTGGACGTAAGCGCCATCCCTACCGTAGGCGTTAGAATATGCAGCGCATAACAATGAGGAATAATAAACATACTGCAACACGCGCTTCTCCTCCTTGAGCTTGAGATAATCTTCGCGATTCACGTTGGTGAAGCCCCACTTGCGAGAGACAATGATCTTCTGCCGGCCAGGGAACTTGTAACGGGCACGGCGGAGAGCCTCCTGGACGACGGCGGCGTTTGAGTCCTTGGTGCGGATAGAGAGGATGATCTGGCCAATGTTGACACGAGCGACGGTACCGTAAGGCTTGCCCCACGCGCCACGCATGCCGGTCTGCAGACTATTTGATCCACAGAGTGAGTCTCGTGAAAAACGAGGCGTTTGTCGAACGCAGGGAGACGTACCGATCTGCACCAGCGCAGGACAACATCTTGTTGATACGCAGGACGTGGAATGGGTGGACACGGACCCTCAAGTGGAAAGAGTCCTTGCCAGAGGTCTTGGTTACGTACTTGTTGGCGCAGATACGAGCGGCCTCAAGGGCCTCGCTGGAAAGCTGCTCATACTCATCGGAAACGAGATGGCAGCAGTATGGGAACTCGTCTACGGAGGCACGCTTGCGACCAAGATCGAAGATACGAATCTGATCAGATGTGAGTGGGTAAGTAGCTGTGTGACAGTGTATAGCTATCTTAACGAACCTTAGGGTCGGGGACACCGCGGTTGTAACGAGACTTGGGGTAGGGCTTGTTCTTGCAATAGCGGTAGCAACGAGCGGGACGGCGACCCATGGCGACTAGCCTAAGTAAGCAGAGCGGATGTGAGCGTCATCCAAAGTCACAAGAGCGCATCCATCGTCCCGCAGGCGCGATTCCAGCCAGAAACGCGACATATACGCTGGGGAGGATGATTAGGGCCAGCATAACGGGATACTCACGGTGGCGATTGAACAGGGAGAGGTGGGGCAAGCGCACCGACGCTGGGTCCTTATGAACGCGCTGTCCTCTGCAGATGACAAACCCGACGATGAGTAACCCCGGGCGTCTCCTCCACGTGCGCGGCATCCCCCTTTGGTCAGCACGGAGGACTAAGCCCCCTCCCGAAATGGAAACAGCTAGGGGCTGGGCAGAAGTCTGATGATCGGTCCGAGGTTGTCCGCGGCGAGCACTCGCTCCCTTGTACCCAACGCCGACGTTCACTTAATGCTTGAACAACGCTAGCCACAGGATTTTGCTGCAATATCAATTGTCCTTCCTGACCGTTGCGTGTGCTCCCTGCTTGTCATCGACGCCCTTGGTCAGGCGTATCGGACTTGTCCCCCACTTTCTTACCAATCTGCCCGGCTCCGACAGCGCATGAACCGACCGAGTCACCCGCCCAGCCCACTCAAGTCAATCTCACCGTCCTACATCCGTGTACGTACAACATCGTGCTGCTATTTTCACCAAATTAACCCTTCCACAGCCAACTACTATCTTCCCTGCGCTTGCTCGATACCTGATCCTGAGCGGAAATTACCCTCAAGGGCTGGGCATCTCCTTCGACGTCTTTCTCAAGGCACGTCCTCCCCATCCACGAAGACAGCTAAGGACCCTCACTGGGCCCCTGCCTCCCAAGCGCTTCGAACCTCTTCCCATCTTTCCCAGCATCGCATGATGGCTTCTTCAACCGGTTTTGAACTCTCTAGCCACCCATATCTGCTTGCTATGGTCTTTTTTTGTGCCGCAGCTGATTCCACCCTGGGACGCTACCGTATGCTTTCAATTAGCTATAGGTCCTCGAAGGCGTCTCGATGTCCGTCGGTACACATGCCCGGTCCACGTGTGTTCATATGCCCCCCTCTGTCGCCGGCAAGGGCTTCTCCTGCCCGTTCTCCAGCGTTTCTTCTTTCCACGCTGCAGCGTGTCTTTCATATAAGCCTTCCTGCGTCTGTTCCTGCTATCCTTCGGTCTGAGACCAGTCCAGATATGCCACCGATGATCTCTGCAAGCGTGCGCGTCCACACTCAAAAGTCTGGACGTCTTCCGCCACGCGTCCTTGAGTCGTCCTCCGCCCCCACCATCGTACGCCCTTGTCGAGTCAACGGGCTGCATTCATTCCATGTACTACGGCAGCCCTCGGCGTCCTCTCAATGTCTACTATCCTCGACCTATCTCACCTGTCATGTCGCCGGTCTATAGCCCGACGAGCTATTCCGGAAGCTACTACGACCACTGTGCGTAGATCCACCCTGAAGCACACCACACACAGTTGATCAGGTGCGCGCGGCTCTCAGCACCAGAGATGCGCATGGTGCCCCTCTATGGGCCGCAATATGCGCAACCCTTGCCGCAGCCCCCGATGATCTACCGCAATCCGCCCGTGTACTACAATCGTCTTCTGCATCGTTACGATAAGCCATGCTGCAACGACATCTGTTGCGATAGGTGTTGTGACGAATGTTGCGGGTGAGCGTGTTACTTCTACCTCATGCCTATGTACTGATCTTCGATTCGGATCAGTCCCCAGTGTTGCTGTTGAACGGTGCAGCTGTTGCGGTGACGACGACTCACGAATTGTTATTCTTATATGCTGTCCATGCCCATGTAGCTTTTTGTTACCGTGGTTGTTGGGTTGTATCTCACGGACATAGCTAAGTAGGTTGCGTATCGATAGGGGGCATTTTGAGGCTTGAAATGGGTACTAGTTGGCGTCCGTACGACACATGGTGGGCCGCGCGACTTGAGTTTGTGTATTCTTCATATATTATATCGAGCGAGCAACCTGGCGGATTCTGCAGCGGTTTGCTCATGAAAACGTCGTCTGGCTGTCACAAGTAAGAGGCTTGCGCTCATGTCTTTAGAGTGCGCCTGCCCGGTGTATTGATTGTTGCCGTCCGTTGACATATCGGACCGCTGCTCTAGGTCACGTCGGCAGTACCAGTGTCTATCGGTCGGTCGAGCGATCATTGTGACAGACTCATCTTAGAGTGTTGCGGTCCGAATCAGAGATGTGTTCAACAACCAGTTCCTCTCCCTGGTGACCGTCTGTATCCACAAGATGGACTTTGGGTAATCATGCATCGCCATCCATGTTCATTCTCTTCAACAAGGATATCTATCCCCACGAGTCAAAGGTCAAAATGCTAGTTCTATCTAATCAGAGAACCTTCGAGACTGGATAATCACGAATGCCTCGTGGCAGGCGCGCTCGCAATACGGTCATTCAATTTGCATGTCCTCTACTGATTTCGTCAATAGCGGCAGCGGACCATCCTAAACGTGACATCACGAGAAACAAGAGATGTATTCGATGTCAACATGTTGTATATAATGCTATGTAGGTGATATATCAATGTAGGAGTCGTTACGGTGCGACAGAATTGTGGAACAACATGGATCATATATGTACACTACAGTGAATGCGTCGAGAGCGTATTGACATGGTCCAAAAGGCGACAGTACATGCGACGTCGTGGCACACGGGGCGTCGAGCATAATGTATGAGGATAACCTTAGAAGAGAGCACTTCGTTCTCACAACGCGCACCCTGACAACAAGCCCTGAATACTCTCCGCCATCTTGAGGGGGTCGATCGCGAATTGCGCTTGCTCGCTCCCTGGCAACGGCGCATATTTCTCGGAGAAGGGAGCGTCGCTCCCGCCGGTGGCTCGGAACTCGCCTTGGTTGTCCAAAGGGATGAGACCGTCACCAGCAACGGGCGCCAGAAATGCCCACAGCTCATTTACATCGTGGTCGTTTACCGACTCGGCGCCGTAGAATTCTGTACTTCCATAGAGTGCCGGGTCAAAAGCGTTGTCGAACCCGAAGTCGGGGAGCGCTGACGAAGACATGAACCCGTTGTCGCCGTCGACTGGTAAAGATTGACCCTGGAGGAATTGCGCCTGACCAGAATCCGCGACGTGGCCCGAAGACGTGGAGGTGACTGAAGTGAGGAACTCATCGTCAAAGAAGTTGGCCCCCAACGCGGAGTCCGAGAACATATCCGAGTGTGGCTGCGATAACAGCGCGAGAAGTTCTTGTTCAGAAGTGGGGCTGGCACATTCGTCCGGGTTTTCTGTTGTGCTGATCTCGAATTGAGGGAGGCAAATCGCGTTCTGGGTCTCATCATGTTGATGTTCGTCTGGTTCTTGAGCCGAGTCCCAGTCGTCCGCGTCAGAAGGGGTTAGGATGGGACTGGAAGGGGGCAATGGAGACGATGGTGGCAGTCCAAACGTCCGCCGCTTCGGTTGACCGAAGTCGAGGTAATCGGATGGACCATCTTGCGAGCCCACATCGAACTCGCCATCGCTGCTCGCGATAGGGATCGAGTCCAATGGTATGTCAAGATCGTCGGATGGCGGCTCTGCATGATTGCCACCGTGCTGAGCCGCTGAAGGGGCATCAGGAACCGAGCTAGCGCTTCGAGAGCTCGTAGGCTGACCAGAACGTTTAGACGGAGTACGATGACGCCGAACGAGTGAACGAGTAGGAGACATGCTAAATCCGCTATAGAGACTAGGGAGCTTCCGAGGGGTCCGAGGATCGCGGTTCGATTCTGGAGTGAACAGGGAGCCAATGCCATCCTCTGGGGTCGTGGGGTTGCTACCAACCGTTCGTCGCCGATTTGGAGTTGAAGGTGGCTCTATGTTGTCAGATGGTGCAAGCACATTGTGGGAAGATGATGGCGCGAAGGGCATAGGGAAGAGCGATGCCCCTGGAGAGGAGGCGACGACAGGGCGTGGGGGATCGGCAGGAGCACTTGGACTTCCACTGCTGGCGGTACGCGGAGGGGTCAGCGTGGCGGGCCCATGGAAGGTGCGTTCCTCGATACTCTCGGAAGGATTTTTGTAGGTTGTGGCGCGCGACTTGCGAGGTTTGGGGCCCGTGGCTTTCTCTTTCTCCTTCTTGAAGGGACGTTTGCGTGCAGATGTTTCCGAGGGCTCACCCTCTCCGGTGAGAAAGGAACCGTCTGCCGCGCGAGGAAGGGTAGCCGTGGTGGTTCGTGCCCAGTCGGGGACGACATATGGCTTTCGTCGAGCCGACGGGTTCGTGCTAGACGATGACCGTCGTGGAGGGGAAGTAGAAGGCACTACTGCGAATGCACCATGATGGGACGACGTGTTGTCCCAAGCAGGATCAGAAGCTGTGTGCGGTGCCAAACGTGAGCTGTTATCGACTGCGTCGACTGCGCCGTTGGCATGAATACCCCGAGACGAGAGGACTGAGCCGAAGCCAGTCGAGGGCCTTCGCGCAGCCTTGGTTGAGCGTTTGCGTGACGTGTTTCGTTCGCGTTCGCGCTCGCGCTCCTCCATGAAATCACTGAGCGTACGCTTGCGTGGGTTGACGCCAGCTGACTCGACTGAAGACTGGGTCGCGTTCTCGGATGTACTGGCACGACTACGCAGGACTGGCTCGGACTGGTTCAAACGGAGGGCAGAGGTTCTATGCTGAGGAAGCGCAGTCTCTTTTGGCTTCTCCTTCTCATTGCCCTTTCGGCGGAAGGCGACGGGATTGACGTTCTCCTTGTCAAGCACCATGATCTCGTCATCGATAGTATGATCGGTGGTGGGTGGAGAGGAAGCGGACGCGATGACTGCAGGAGGAGATTGGGAGGCTTCCGCGGGGAAACTGGTAGCCGCGGATGAGGGAGCGGTGGCAGACAAGAACGTAAGCGGTGTGTAAGGATCGACATGGACACTTGACGACACGTGGGTCACGGAGACAGAGGGCGAAGGAACTGTAGCCGAAGGTGCGACAGAGGGAGCGGCTGAAGAAAGCAGCGCTCGGATCATCTGCACCAGTTCAGGGCTCGGCTCTGAATTGGAGGACGTGGAGTCGATGGAGCCGATGAGAGAGAGGAGTCGTTGGTGATTCTCTTGAGAGCCAGCGAGAGCGGCGAGGAGGACTTGCGCGGGTATCCCCTGAGACGCAGATTGCGGCGCGACTGAGGGTGGTTCCAAAGGGTGGACTGCGGGTAGAGACATAGTAAGGTTCGGCAGGGTCGAGAGTTGTGAGGGTGTGTCTTGCTTCACAGGAGGGAGGACGGTAGGAAGAAGAGACGGGTTGAAACCCGAAAGCAAAGGGTCCTGGATGACGGGCGGTGTCAGATGGTCACTGGCCTTTAGCTTTTCTTGTGCGGGCCACCTGAGTGGATCAGTGGTGAAAAGGGCGCCATGAGTGCGTTTGGTAGGCTTCCTGTCTGGGACAGACGAGTTTGCACGAGAAGGCGGAGGCCGAGGGAACTGGAAGGGAAGGTAGGGGATCAGTGGGAAAGAAAATTGAGAAGACAAAAGGAAGATGGGCACCTGTTTGAGGGAGAAGATGACCTCGATTGAATCGGGATAGATACCATCGGAACAGAGAGTGCCGAGGATGAAGGGGGAGTTGTCATTGGTGAGGGCGTCAGACAACCAACCGTGGCCAACGGCAACGGTAGGGGGAGGGGCTGAGAGAGAGGAGAATGGCATGCGTAGGTCTTTGGTATGTGGAGGAAGTTTAGACTAGGCGGATTTAGTTGTCGAGGGAGGAGACTCACGGGACTCGATGGGATCAATGACGTAGACGGTGAAGTCGCGGGAGGCGGCGGGGACCACTTCGGGACTTGAGAACGGCGTATTGATGAGCACAGAGGAGATAGAAACGAGAGAAAGAAAGACAGACCTAGATTGACATACGACATGGAGACAGGGACGGAGAGGGATCTTGCCGTAGATGGGTTGGGAGTCTGGGGAGAGATGGGGAGGGCGTGGTGGAATGATCTGAACTTCGTATGCGGTAGCGGTACGAGCGAGAATATAGGGCTCGGCGGAGTTGATGGTGTAGAGGACGCGAACTGGGGAAACTGAGGGTGAGTGGGGAGTGAAGGCTGGGGGTGGTTAGGACATACTGGCGAGGCTACGAGTCTCCATACTGTCTTGACGCGTGCATAGAAGATCTGTGTCGCAGCAATAAGCGACAAACACACGCGGGGTGAGAGTGAGGTGGAGGAAGAGGAGGTGGTGGTGGAGGAGGAGGAGGAGGAGGAGGAGGAGGACGGCGACGACAGACCAGCGTGAACCCGCGTAGGCGCCCCGCCACGCTTGGGCGTCTCCTCATTCTAGCGCCCAATACCTCATTCAACGCGTCGGGGTCACGTGCACCGCGTGGACGCGTCGTCTGTCCCGAGGACACTAGACTCCTCGTACTCACGTCCTCATACTCACATCCTCATACTCACGTCCTCATACTCACGTCCTCATACTCACATCCTCATACTCACATCCTCATACTCACGTCCTTACATATATATGGGTCCTTACACTCGCACACTCGGCCTCCTACAGCAAAGATGGCGGTGTGCATATGCTATACTGTAATATTCAATCTACCCCAGCCTCGCCTTCTTCCGCGACGGCCCTCCCCCTCCGCTCACACTAGCAAAGCTCGCCGCACTCCCTGCCTTCCCCGACTGGTTCGAGTGCGAGTGCGACAGCTGCTGAGACAGATGTGCCTGCGCAGTCGCCTGCATCTGCGACACCTGCCCCTGCACATGAGACCCCCCCGCCCCCAGTGGCATCATCGACGGCGCGTCGTCCTGCGTAATCCGCCGGTGCGGCGGCACACGCTCAGCCGACAGCGATACGAACGCGCTGCAAATAACATTCAGTCACCGTCTGACCTAATCCACCCATGCTCGCAAGAACGTACTTTCGAGTAGGCAACGGTTCCTCTCGGAACCACCGGTGCTGCAGCGCCTCCCCCGCCGTCAGCCGCTTGTCTGGATCGTACGCAAACAGCTCTTTCAACAGCTGCGCCCCATTAGGCATCCGAGACTGACACCACTCTTGCAACCGGTTGCTGTAACTGCACACCACCCGTCCGTCAGTACAATCACTGACACTTCCAGCCCAACGATCGTCTTACTGGTCTAAACGCTTCATGCCGTCGTATTCCGGAAGGTCCTTGACCTTTGGCCACTCGCGTTCTGTTTACAAACCATCATCTTCTACCAGTCCTTGAGCAACAGCGTGCGCCACTTACCTGACGGCGTGCCCAATATCTCGAAAATCTTCAGCAACTGGTCCTTCTGGAACGGCACGTTCTTTTTCGAGTCCAGCTTCGCCTCCTCTCCCTTGAATATCGGACGCAGGCTCGCCAACTCCGCCATCACACATCCCACCGCCCAGATGTCCACCGCCTTGTTGTAATGTTTCGCACCGAGCAGCAGCTCCGGCGCGCGATACCAGATCGTCACCACCACCTTGTCGCCCGCCACCAGCGGCATGAGAGGCTGATGGGTCAGCCGTGCCAGACCCAGGTCCCCGATCTTGACCACGCCGGACGAGGTGATCAAGATGTTCGCCGGCTTGAGGTCGCGATGAATGATGTGTGCATCATGCAGGTACAACAGGCCGTTCAACAGCTGGTACGTCAGCGACTTGAGAACCGCCACCGAGATGGACTGCCGCAACGTTTGCGAGTGGTGGTGTATAACTTGCTGCAGGAGGCCTCAGCTTCTCATCAGGATGCGCAAGATTTGACCTTGGAACGTACCAAAAAGTCGTGCTCGGCATACTCGAACACCATGTAGATAGACTTGTCTTCCAGAATGACTTCCTTGAGCGCAACGACGTTTTCGTGCGTGATCTCCCTGTTCAACTGACCCTCTTCTGTGAATAGAAAGGCACAGGAGGATGAAGGAACGAAGACGGACGGCGATCTCACGAATTGCACTTTGGCTGATGCCGGTATACGTCACGACGTCTCCCTCCTTGTCGGGCTTGAACTTCTTGATGGCATGTATTCGCCCGTCGACGTCCTTGCTCTGCGCCTTGTAGACTCTGCCATACGTCCCGGAGGAGATGAAGCCGAGGATGGTGTACTTGTCCGTTACCCGCTTGCGAGCGCTGTCGCGCTTGGCGCGGTAGAGTCGCATAGGGTCAGACACGAGCAGGTTGTGATCCATCGGTCGCGTGGAGCAGTAAGAGTGCAGAGAGCGCGAGGGCCGAGGGTGTCTAGCATGGCGGACGAGCAGAAGCGGAGCAAGAGCCGTCTCGTCCGGGACGCCCGTCGACTGACCTTGCATTCGCACCACTTGCTCGCTCACAAGCTCTCCTCACCCGCTAGCCTTTGCAACATTCACCTTGTACTCAACTGTCTGCCAACATGGCGGTCTCACAAGACAGCTTCATGTTCACGGTCGGCAAGCTCGGTAGGTCCCCTCTCTTCCCTTCGCTGCCGAAAGTCGCTCAATGTTTCCAATGCAGATGCCGGTATGGCGGTACGCAGGCCTCTCGCTCCCCATCGCGCATTCTCTAAACATATCACCGTAGATTCTTCTCGGAGAGCGCGCACACCTCATCGAGTTCCCTTCGCTGCTGCTACCGCCTGGCGTCTCTACGGGGTCCATTGTGAACATATCCGTCCAGAGGAATGTTACCGAGGAGAAGAAGAGGGAGAACGAGTTCTGGAGCCTTCAGAACGATATCCTTGATGAATTTGGCACAAAGACTCCAGAGAATCCCAGGCTTGAGGTACGCCACCATCGCTTGTAACGTATAGCACTGTCTACATGCACTCGCAGCTGCGCAACGTCACCCAAACCTCTGTTACCCTCGAGTGGCCCCGGCTCGAGCTTGCTACCGCTAAACTCCGTTCTCTCGACCTCTACCGCGATCGCCAGCGCGTCGCGGCGATCCCATCGCCCCTCACCAACACCTCCACCAAAGTCTCTGGTCTGCAGCTTGATACCGAGTATACCTTCCAGCTCGTTCTGCGTACCACCGCTGGCGTCTACCCTTCCAACCTCCTCCGCGTGCGCACACACACCATGACCGACACCTCTGGGATCTCTGTCTGCTTCGGGACGGTCGAGGACGAGGTGCTGCTCGAGAACGCCAAAATGGCTCTCGGAGAGATGGGCGCAAAGTGGAGCGACAAGATCCAGATCGATACCACTCACTTCGTCTGCACTACTCCCGCTGCGACGCCCAGCGGCGCACAAGCGACGAGTGGCATAGTCACTGGACCCGGAGTCGAGTACCAAAAGGCCCTCCAGCTCAGCATACCCGTGGTCCAGCCGCAATGGATCCTCGCCTGCCACACAGAGAAGAAGTGAGTCCACCGCCTTGTCTCCTTGCGAGCTGATGTTCAACAAGGGGTATGGCCAGGATGATGCCCATCCGTCCCTTCTACCTCGGCGAGAGCCCATCGTCGCCTTCCCACTTCCGCCCGCAGTCCATGTCTCAGGCGAACCTGTCCTCTCCCTCGCAGCGAAGCGCGAACTCCTCGCCCACCCAGCAGAAGCACGCCATCAACCGCCAGTCCATGCCTCCTCAACGCGTGTCCGCAGCCTCTCCGCCGACCGTTTCGCCCAGTCAAACGTCTGCGCCGACGAGCTCGCGCAAGATTCCCGAAGAGCACGAGCCCGTCGAGGAAGAGGAAGAGGACGACGACGATCGGCCCGGCCGGGTGCGCAAGGGCACGATGAGCAAGAACTTCCGCTTCCCGTCGCCCAACCCGGCTCAGCCCCCACCTCCCGTCCCGGCGGTTCCCCCATCGATGTCCGTCACCTCCGCGGGCGAGGAGGCGTCTGCTCCGAGCGCACCTGCAAAGCGGGAGAGCGTCAGCGCGTCGACGGATGATGATGGCGAGTTGACAACCGTCGATGTCGTTGCGCCGTCTAGCGTGGAGGTCCCGCCGCCTCCGCCTGTGGAGAAGGAGCGGCCGTTGGGAAGCGCAAACGACCTCGATGATGACGTTGGAGAGACGGAAGAGATTTCGCTGAACTGAGATCTCCTGCTTGCGGCGCCAACTTATGTATCTAACCATCTGGTGGTTGTTGGAATGGACGGCCAAGTCTTGACTGCGAACATTGCGCATGAATGCACCCGCTGTAATTGCGAGGATTGCCATATCAAAGCCCCTCTCTGGCCGCTCAAGCTAACGTCGCAAGCGCAGTGTCACGCCACCCGGTGCAATCTCGAGCCCGCACGTAATTGCCGCGGCAAGTGAGAGCGATCGGCCTCTTTCTTCCGCGGCCCATCTGGCATCGCCACCTTGGGCCCCTCTCCGGCCATCGAGTCTCACCTGGCTCCGTGCCCCACGATCGGCTCCTGACCGAGATAGGATGAAATGTGTACGCCAACGGTGGTTTACGTTGCTGGCACCGGCGGTTGGAGAAGTTGGATTGTTATAGGTACAATCTACACACGACTTTACTTCTTCGTCCGATCACAGCCTGGCGAGCCCTCGTGTCATCGACTTCTGTCTTGCCAAGGCCACCATCCGCGCACTACAAACGGTCTACGAGCGGAGTAGAGCCTGTCAGTGCACCGCGAGTGAACGAGCCAAGCGACGGATACTGACTCGTGTTGCCAAGATCGGCGTTGGCTTCCTTGACACGCTGAACTAGGGTCTTCTCGCCCTCGCGAACCCATACACGCGGGTCGTAGTACTGCACGAAGCGTCAACGGCATGTCCCCCGGCCGAGACATCAGCGCAGACGCGTACCTTCTTGTTCGGCTTGTCAGCGCCTTCGGGGTTCCCGACCTGAGTTTGCAGGTATCCCGACTTGTTCTGGATAAAGTCCTATAGGCGCATATAGCCGTGAGCGGGACGTCAAGGTTCCACCGCACAGGGTACTGACGCGGATGCCGGTGAGGTACGCCCACTGAGTGTCGGTGTCGACGTTCATCTTGACGACGCCATTCTGGACGGCGGTCTTGATCTCCTCCTTGGTGGAGCCAGAGCCGCCGTGGAAGACGAGGAAGAGGGGTTTCTTCTTGCCGCCGCCGAGCTTCTCCTCGGCGTAAAGCTGGTGCTTGTTGAGGAGCTCGGGGTGGAGGCGGACGTTACCGGGCTTGTAGACACCGTGGACGTTGCCAAAGGCGGCGGCGATGGAGAAGTTAGGGCCGATCTTGGACAGGGCAGTGTAGACATCCCAGATGTCCTCCGGCTGGGTATAGAGCCTGGAGTTGTCGACGCCGGTGTTGTCGACACCATCCTCCTCACCACCGGTGATGCCGATCTCCATCTCGAGCCAGAGGCCAAGGGGGGCCATGCGCTTGAAGTACTTGACGCAGGTGTCGATGTTCTCCTCCTTGGACTCCTCGGAGAGATCAAGCATGTGTGAGGAGAAGAGAGGCTCCTGGTGCTGAGCAAAGTATTCCTCGTCTGCCTTGAGCATGCCGTCGAACCAGGGGAGGAGCTTCTTGGCGCAGTGGTCCGAGTGGAGGACTACGGGTCTAGAGAGAAGGGATGAGTGAGCAGCGGCAAAGTGAAGAGGAGAATGAAACGTACACGCCGTATTCCTTGGCTACGGTGCGAACGTGGTGGGCGGCGGCGATGGCACCGGCGATGGAGGCTTGCTGCTTGTCATTGGGAAGACCCTTTCCGGCGAAGAATGCGGCGCCGCCCTGGGAGACCTGGATGATGATGGGGGCCTTTATGTCGCTGGAAACGCAGATGAGAAGGATGGAAGGGGGCAGGGGATGGAAAGGGTGCGGACCGCGCAGCTTCAAGTACGGAGTTGGCGACGGATGAGGAGGTGACGTTCTAGAGGAAGGGAGGATTGAGGGCGTGTGAGACAAATGGAGGGACAAAACTTACGATGGCCTGTGGATGGTACGATGGAATACAAGGTCTAGTGTGAGCGGCGGGGCAAGAATGGAGAGGAAAAAGGACGTACGGGGATGGCGAACTAAAGGAGAGAATGGTGAGTAGAGAAGGAGAGGGGCGAGGGAGGAGAGATGGTACCTGGTTCTGCTTTGCGTACTCGAAGAGCTTGCGGACGTTGTCGCCAGTCAAGACGCCGGGCTATAGATGGACGAGATGAGGAGATAGGAGGGGAATATAGGGGTCGAGATGACGCACAGGAACGATATCGAGGACACCCATGGCGAGCTAAAGTGAGCAGGGAGAGCTGGAGAGAGGTGGACGATGGAGAGAGAGATGAGAAGGGAGGCGACGCGAGAAAGTGGGCATACATACCGGAATCGATGACGATGGCGCATCGGGTAAACGATCTCCGAGGGAGGTGGGACGACTCGTCCCGTCCTGGCCCTGGGCCTCGCCGTCCGGAGCGCGTCCTGTACAGTGGGGGCGACGGCACATGTTTTCCAACAATGGGTGGTGGACGTGCGTCCCGCTCTCGCGGCCCGGGCTGGGGTCAAGCTTGCGAGCTTGCCGGCCGTTGGGCGCACGTCGTCGTCGAGGGCCAAGCCGTCGGCCATCTCGGTCGCCGAGATCGTTGTTCGCAGCCGGCGGCGCTCGAGAGAGGGGCTGGGTGACTTACGGCAAGCTGTACTCCGTCGCGCCACGATCACGGGGAGCAGTGGGAGAACGAGCTCGCGGTGGGGGCGCGAGGATGACGGAGAGAACGACATCGAGGACGGAGGCCCAGGGGCGAGTGCGAAAAGAGCGGAGGCACCCACTTGGCTTGCCTCGAGGCCGATTGGCTCCTGTCCCCCACACTTCTCTCCCGATTTGGTATCCTGTGGAATGACAGAAATGGTGGACACACCTCCTCGACATCCTTTCCTCCTCCTCCCAGCCCCGCCGCCGCCCCAGCCTCAGCCTTTGCCAGCTAGCAGCCCTCTCCGCCCGCCTGTCCCCACGACTCACTCGCAAAGTCGTCGCCCGACTCTCCCGCGGCCTCCTCCCCGCGCCGTCCGCCCCAATGCCCTTTTCCCGCTATCTCCAGTCCAGCGAGCGCGACGGCCAAAACAACGACCAAGACGACGACATCGACCACCACTTCTCCTCTGCAGTCCACTTCCAGCTTCCCAACCTCATCTTTAACGCCCCCACCGTTCCCCCAGGCGGCGGTGCAGAAGCCCTCCCAGCCGGTCTCTATCCCCCCTCCTCTTCCCTTTCCTGGTTCTCCTCCTCCGATGGCTACCACTCTCCCTTGTTCGTCCTCTCTCCCCCTCCTCCTCCTCATCAGCTTACTCACCACCTCTTTGCAGCCCCCAGGTCGCCTCGTCCTCCTACCATCATCACCCTCCCTCCGCCTCTTCATCCCCCCAGTCCATCTCCTCCACCGCCTTCCCCATCTCCCATCTTTCTCCACAGTTTCCAAACCCCGTATCCCCCCACCATCCCCAGCACCCTCCCTTCTCTCACCAGATCCCTCTCTCCGTCCCCTCCGCCCTCGGCCTCCCCATCTACTCCGCCTCCGGCTTCGACCTCCTCTCTCTCCTCTCCCGTGTCGTCACCAGGCCTTATCCCAAGATCTACCTCGGTCCTGTAGACCTCTCCTGTGCTTTCGTCGTCACAGACACCCGCCGCTTCGACGCCCCCATAGGTACGCCCCGTCCCTCCCTCCAGTCCCGCTGCCTTGTCTCATCATCTTTCTCCCAGTATACGCATCCCCGTCCTTTCTCAAACTCACCGGCTACGAAGAGCACGAAGTCATCGGCCGCAATTGCCGCTTTCTCCAGGCTCCCGCCGGTCTCATCCAGCGCGGCCACGAACGCTTGCACACGTCCAGGGAAGCCGTCGCCCACATGCGCAAGAACATCGTCGCCGACAAGGAGTGCCAAGTCAGCATCATCAACTACCGCAAGGACGGCTCCGCCTTCATCAACATGGTCTCCGTCATCCCCCTCCGCGGCGGCGTCTACAACTCCCCAGACGAGACAGACGACATCGTCTATCACGTCGGCTTTCAGGTCGATCTCACAGAGCAGCCAAAGTCCATCCTCAGCAAGCTCAAGGACGGCACTTACGTCGTCAACTACTCCGACAAGCCCGTCTTGCCCACCAACGTTTCTTCCCGCGACTGGCGCACGTCCTCGATCACCATGCGCGGCGTGTCCAAGGATCTCCGTGCCCTCCTCGCCGACTCGGCCTTTACCTCTTCCTTTGAGCTCTCCACATCCACTCACGCTTCTACCGCTATCGCTCTCTCCAGCAGCCCGTCCGAGCCCATCTCGCTCGACCCCTACGACGGCAACAAGCCTCTGCACATGTTCCTCCTCGACCGCTCTCCCGACTTCCTCCACGTCGTCTCTCTCAAAGGCGCATTTCTCTACGTCGCCCCCGCGGTGCGCCACGTCCTCGGCTACGATCCCGACGAGCTCGTCGGGCGCTCTCTTGCAGAGTTCTGTCACCCGGCGGACTGCGTCCCTCTCATGCGCGAGCTCAAGGAAGCGTCTGCTACCCCTGGACCTTCCCTGCTCACCACTGGCGCCCCTTCAGCTCCCACAGGCCCACCGTCGGCGGCGAACCCCACCAGCCCCGATACCTCATCGCAGGCGTCCCCCCAAGCCGCCCCCCGCGCGGTCGATCTCCTTTTCCGCATGCAAGCCAAAGGCCGAGGCTATGTCTGGGTCCAGTGTCGAGGACGTCTCCACGTCGAGCCCGGTAAGGGTCGCAAGGCCATCATCCTCAGCGGCCGGCTCAGGCATATGTCCTACCTCGAGTGGGGGCCGATCTCACGCGCAGGAGGACTAGTCACGCCCGTTCCCCCGGCCACGTCCACTCCGCTCGTGGACGGACCCGACGGAGAGTCAGAGGACCGGCCCCCCGAGCGCGAATTCTGGGGTCTGCTGAGCTCCAACGCTACGTTCCTGTACGTCGGCGCTGCCGTTCGCGACGTCCTCGGCTGGGGTGCCGGAGAGGTGATCGGCAAGCCGTTGGCAGATTTCGTCAGCGGGAGCTCCGCGCAGGAGGTCCATATGGCCATCGATGTCGAGATGGCCAAGGTTCTCCTCGCCTCCGGGCCTAGCGCTGGAAGCGAGAGCGCCGGTCTCGCCTGCGACGTCCTCACCAAGGACGGGAACCCCATCTCCGTCCACCTCGTCCTCTACCGCTCTCAACCGCAGCAGAGCGTCCCCGCCGGATTTCCCACTGGCCAACCGGTCGGCGGCGGAGGCGAGCCGTCCACGCAACCGCCGATCGTTTGCCAGATCAAGCGATGCGAAGGCAGCGCACCGCCGCCGACGAGCGACGTCGTCCACCCTCTCCGCGAGAGCGTCTTTGACGAGACCGACCTCGACCGCTCGAGCAGTTGGCAGTACGAGCTCCAGCAGCTCAAATTCAAGAACCAACGGCTCGCGGACGAGGTCGCCTCCCTCGAAGCTGGCGTCACCAAGAGGTACCGCAAGAAACAAACCTCGATCGCTCTCGAGCCGTCGTCCAGCCTGAGCTCAGCCGTGGCCGCCAGGGCGCCCGCGGGACAGAGGATGAACGTCGCCTATGCGCCCCACTCGCATCCGTCCTCCAGCGTGCCTCCATCGGGGCCGCTGAACGTCCGCTTTGTCTCGGGCGTCTCCCATCCCGCCCCGTCTCAATCGTCACGTCCTCATCGTGTTCCAGCTCCTGCCCCGGTGTCGCAAGCGACTCACTCTGCCATGCTCCCCCGCGCATCTCAAATGTTCCCGCCTCAGCCCCATCCGTCGTTGCAGCAGCATATACCGCAGCCCACGTTGCCAGTCTCGGCGCAAGTCTCGCGCGGATACAAGCAGCAGGAATCCAACATGTACTTGCCGCCGCCGATACCTCAGTCCACCGACTCTTCTCTCCACGCATGGAGTGCCTACCATCCCGAGGGCGCGGACCCCGGCGTCATTCCGGGCGGCCTCCAGCAGCCTCCCGTGAGCTTCAACGTGATGCCCATGAAGCGTCCTTGGGACAACTCCTTCCGCGACTCCGGAGGTGGTGGCGTGTGAGGCCAAAAATTCGGTAGAATCCTGCTGGTCTCGTCGTAACTCGTCGCTATCGTTTCGTCGCATCCTCGTGCTATCATTTGTCCGCAGTCACTCGCACTCGCCCCTCAGGTCGATAAATATCAGTATAATCACCCCGCTGCCACACATTGCACGCACAACAAACGTCTCATACTGTACCTCGTCGGTGGAATCGTAGTCTATCACATTTGCAGGGTTGGCATGGACGATCCGGCCGCTGTATGCGCAGCTTATGTATTTAGTGTAGGATTGCCCGACGGGCAAATGTTCGGTCAAACGTGTAAGACGGAATGATTCATGAATCGGTATATTCGTACATATGTGAAATCGTACAGATGCTCAATAGCATGACAGCATTGCCTGGGAAGATGAAATAGTATGTGTCCTAGCCGCGTCCTTCATCGGTCAGGGATGGTATCTCTCCGACGCGCAACCGAATCCGACCGTTACGGGAGCGGCTCTCGGTTGCTCGAAAGGCGGTTGAGGTGGATGTACACGTCCGTGCCAAAGCCGTCCATCGAAATCAGGCGCAAGTCGCCCCCAAAGTACCGCGCATACTGCGAAGCCGGTCAGTCGTCTCGGTCGAATCGACACGCCAAGAGCTCCGAAGAGGGCGGCAGGAGAAAAATGCACTCACCAGGCGCGACAAGGGAAGCCCGTAGCCGAAGCCCGCCATGGGCGCTTTGAAGTCGGAGGCGTCAAAGTCCTGGTCGATGTTCTGACCTTCCATGGTCGTGTACATATACGTCCATATGAGCGGGATGGCAGACCGTGCGATACCGCCGCCCTCGTCCGAGATCTTGATGGTGATGTCTTCCTTGCCTTCAACGACAACTACTTTGATCGGTGGGAACGCGTCCTCGTTCTCGGGGCCGAAGCGCTCGACGACGGCTCGGAGCGAGTTCTTGAGCAGCTCAAAGCAGATGTGGGACAAATGGCCGGGAACGTAGGGAAAGTGGAGATCCTTGGGGCAGATGAGCTGCACTGGGGGACCCTTGAACATGGAGTAGTGCTCTTCGCATACGAATCTGGGGACGCGCGCGGTCACGAGGTCAGTCGCGTGAGGGGACAGGGCGGCTGACGCCTACGTACCGAGCGTTCTCAATCGCCTCGTGCACGATGTCATGCACGTTCTGGTGTCAAATGGTTTCAACGAAACGCACGAATGGTGAAACGGATGGCCAACGCACCGCGCGCGTACAGATGATACCGACGTAGTCCGGGTGTGGCTGCAGAGTGTTCAAAGCGATATCTGTTTGCCGCGACGTAGATCATGAGCGCGGCCTAAGGGGTGAGGCGAGGAGAAGACGCACGTTGGCCAATCAAGAACCGGATACCGATCCGCGACAGGTAGAAACGGTCGAGCCAATGCTGCACGTCGAGGTTGATGTTTCGTGCGTTCTGGCTCCTTTTCCACTCGAGCACGCCTTGAGCGACGGTGGTCACGGTCGGATCATGGCGCTTCTTAATGGATTCGAGAGCTTTGGTGAACGAGCGATTGTACTCGCGGACCTCTGGCGGCCATTCCTTGACAGACGACGTGTTGGCGTAGTATCTGCAAGGAAGAGACGATGTGAGCGAAATGGGGAGAGGGAAAGAGCACGCCGAGCAGACCTCCTCTCCATGGGGATGCGCATCTTCTGGCCGTTACCATTTGTGCTGCGGCCATTGCCGTTCTTGGGTGTTGAGACGATGCCGAGTGGATGGTCGGAGCCGGTGGTGTAGTCGTCGGAATAGTACTGGTAGTGGAAGGAGGGGTTTGGATGTGACTCGGGGAGAGAGACGGGGTCGATGGGAGGAGCCATAAGTGCGGCGCGGATAGCCGGTGGGAGGCGGATTGGTGGGAAAGAGATGAGCTCCTAGAGGGGGGTGAGGAGCGAGCGTGAAAGGAAAGAGAAGGAGACGCACCTCGAAGGACTGGGCATACCAGTTCTTGACCTTGTTGATGGAGGGCATGTCGCCGAGCTTGTGAGGGAGCTGATCGAGCTCCTTTACTCTGTGGGCGAGACGAACGGGCAGTTCCTCTGGAGCAAAGTGAGAGTGGGGATAAGAAGAGGAGTGAATAGACGTACCGAGGAGGAACTGGCTGCCTCTGAGCAAAGTACCTTGACTTGGGTTCTGTCCGAAGAGGACCATTTGCTGAAGTGAGACTGTGGAGGTGGATGAGGGGAAGCGTGTATGGTGACGAGCGAGGAGACATACCTCCTGTTTGGGGGAAGGAGGCATAGTGGTGTATCCTCTCCCAAAGACTTGGCGAGATGCGAAACATGGTGGTGAGTCTCGTGAGGGACGTGGGTGGGATGGTGGTGGCGATGGTCGAACAGGAAGCATTAAGAGGAAGGGTTGAGCATGAAAGAGGATCAGGTGCCGGCAGTGAGATGCATATGCATCCGGTGGGATTCCGAGCGTGGAGTCGAGAGCGGAAGAGACAGTCTCAGACAGTCTCAGACAGTGATCGCCTCCTGCCTGGCCCTGCCTCTCCGGCGCCTCTCCGGGGCCCCACACCGGACATTGCCGCACACCACACTTTCACGTGCCTCCGCTCGTCAATATCGGGCCCGACGGGGGTCATAGTACCCCAGCGAGTCCGCTGTGGTCGCGAGCATACTCTGCTTCAAAAACACACCCAAGTTACGATGACGCGGATGTACCCTACATAGCAAAGATCGACTGAGAGATGCCGCCAAACGATTCAAAAGCATAAAGCGAGGCATGTGTGTACGAAAGCGGCGAATAACGATCGAACTTGAGAACAACTGTTGCGCGCAGAACATAGCTCCAGATAGCGGGGGTGATAGCATAGGGTGACAATCGTCGTTCACGGTCTCCAAATCTTGATGGTCTAGGGCGAGTATGCCATGAGAAATTGTAATTGCAGATAATACGATGCACGTACAAAGTCCCAACAACCGGAGGCTATCGCGTTCACTCGCCGGGCGGGCTCTTGGTCGGCACCATCGTCTGACGCACCGCCACCCGTAGTTTGTTTACACCACGCTAATGAGGTCACGAAACGCTCCCCGGTCTCCAGCTTCCGAATACACCGTCCCGTCTTGAGATCCCAGACACGGATCGACCCATCGTCTGCCGCTGATAGTAGATACCGTCCGTTTGGATGGAAAACAAGGCCATGTACCCAGCCATCGTGTCCCACCTATCATGGGCCATCGGTTGTTTGTTAAGAGGAATCCTGTGCTAAGCAGCACTGAGTAGACGTACGAAGGTGTACAAGCACTGGTTGGCTCGCGTATCCCACAACTTTATCTTCTGATCCCGAGAGGCCGTCAATATGTACGCAGCCGACGACTCTTCCAGGATTTTCCCGTGAGTTGGGCCAGACTACAGTGAGAGTTAGATGACGCTCGCACCACACCGGGAATGTCAACGCACTGTGCCGAGAAGTTCAGCTAAAGCCGGCAAGGCATTTCGAGGAACGAAAATGGCATTCTCGACAACATTGTTATGTCCCCTGAACTCGCATTTGGTAGTGCCAGTTGCAACTTCAACGACACGCGCGGTCTGTGGCACAAATCAGAACGCTGATCTATGAACGCGAAAGGAGCAAAGATACATGGTCCATGCAGCTCGTCACAAGCAACCGTCCATCGGGACTTGGTGACGCTGACCTGATCCAATCATCGTGCGGCCTGAGCACTTGAATACAATGTCTGCAGGGATACCACCTCGTTAGGGCACAGAGAAACCGCTATGGAAGCACCCCTACGTACGAGGTTGCGACCTCCCAGATGCGCGCAGTCTTATCCCGACTAGCACTGACAACACGCTCGTCGCCAGGGAGGAACCGGACAGTAGATATGGAGTGTTCATGCCCCCTGAAAGTTGCGATATTCTTGTAATCATTGTCGACGTCCCAGAGCTTGAGGAAGAGATCATGAGACCCCGACACTATAAGGGTGCGATCAGTAAACCACATCCCCGATTCGACGTGCGCTAGACCATGGAGGTCAAGTTCAAGGTAGTCTGAGCCCGTCGAGACTTCAGGGAAGCTAGAACTACCGCCGTGGAAAATTCAAGGAACAGCAGCTCCTGCCATGGTGTATCGAACTCATGAAGCGCAAGGGAAGAATAGAACAACATCGGGGATTGGGTGGCGCGAATATCAATGATGAACCGCTGGACATCGCCTATGGCCCGCACGAATGCCTACTGCCGCACTGGATGTATGTGCACACTCACCTAACAACTTCCCTTTGGAATCGAACTCGCAGTCGCTGACGCGTCTAGTATGCCCCTGTAAGGTACGCTCCAACTCCCCCGTTTCCCAATCCCACACTTTCATCGTGCTATCATCGCTTGCCGATACGATAGTCGAATAGCGAGGATGAAAGGCAACGGCATTGACGTTGGCTCTGTGGCCAGTTAAGACGAGTTTCGGTGGCGTTACAGCTGGAAGCCAATCTGAGTTGCCGCGTTGATTTGAGTTCGCTGGGTTGAGGGCCATACTTGCGTTCTCCTGTAACGCCTGAGCCAGCCGAGACTCTAGATCGATGATCTGAAACAGCGGATGACATTCGATGTTCGGAAGGAGAGTGCGAAGAACACACCTTTTTCTGTAAGCGTATGACACTAATCCATTTTTTCACTAAAAGGCTATTGCTCGTGTCTGGTTGAAAGTCGGTCTGCGAGGTGCGTAAACATATGTGAAATTCTGAACCTGATAAGCCAACCTGAGAAGATTCCTCCTTGAATTGATCGAAAGTCTTGTGAAATCCAGAGGAATTGAGGTAGTCCAAGATGGCCCTGTGCCTATAAGTGCAAACTAGTATAATGGCCTGGCATCAGCTCAGAGAATGAAGAGACCAACAGGTCATTCTTTTGGCGATCCGTTAATTCAGCTGCCATGGTGAAGGGTAAGGCCTTAAGGGCGAATAAGCGCCACTAAGGCCGCCGTGTTTGTTGATCTTACTTACTATACTACTTAGGCCTGGGTCGGCAACATCAACCCTGGGTTGATCGAATCAATGGGTTGATATCGAGCGCTTCACGGAACCCCCTCCGGAAAACTCTGACTCAGCTCTGGCGCTTATGGGAATGTCGTGATGCGTCACGTTGCGTTATCGCTGTGTGACTTTCAGCTACTTTGGCTAGTTGAGATCCCAGGTTGGGCTCAATGGATGAAACCGCCAAAAGAAGTTAATATTCATGTACCTTATGTATGGCTATGACTATATACAAAACCATGGAGGCTCAAGACAGGTTGTTGAGGTAGGATGTGCAGTTAAGCCCAAGAGGTTGAGGGCGTCGATGAGGTGATGGTGACAGACACCGGTGCGCGCTAGCTGGCCGAGATGCTACCGGATTAAGGAAAAGACCGGCCGCTCGGAGGGCGTTCGGAGACAGATCAACTGTGTGATCAACCTGGCTGCCATTTGGCAGGAGCCACCTGGGTTGATCCCACGGGGTTGGTGTTGCCGACCAGGGCGGCCAGTCGATAGGCGCGGCTCGGAAGACATATGCGACTGGCGGTCTATTGCGCGGGCCTGGCATCGTTCACGCAAGGTCTGGACCTGATCGCCCGTACGAGCGCGGACGAAGGCTGGAACGTCAGCTTGGCTAGTTGCATCCGGATCTGGCGCGAGGGGTGCATCATCCGGTCAGAGTATATTGCTGACCTGCTGCAGCCGCTGTTGGAGAAGGAACCGGGAACGAAGAACATATTGACTCTGCAACCGGTCGCGGACGAGATTACGAGGACGATCCCGCACCTGCGGAAGGTGGTGCAGTACGGTCTGGAATGGAACGCACATGTGTAAGTCAAGACGACAGACAGGCTATGAGTTCTTCAAACACTGTGGGGGGAAGCATCTGCCGAGCCAGTTCAGATCTGAAGTCAGAAGGAGACGGAGAGGCGAAGTAAGGTACGGGGCGACGAGAATACGGTGCTTGTACGCTCTAGCAACCACATCGAGCTCGCAGAACGCCTCTTCTTGTCGCCGTGATGATGTCTCACCACCATAATAAGGTAAGTACATGCACTGTACGGAATATATGAGGGTCACCTGAGTTATGCATACCCGGGCTACGCTGCTGCACTAATCTCCATACAGAGAAGTGCAATATCATAAGGTCCAAGTCAGAAACATATCCACTTGTATAGCCACGGATGTATCAGTAGTGTATATACTACAATGTTATACATATAGAACGAATGAAGGCAGATCATGGCCGTCAATCGGACCTCCCGAATACAGGTTGCGCGATTGTAGCCGGTAGGATTTGCCTGCGCGGCACCGCGAACGTGAAGTCCTGCCCAGGACGATCAGCCCGTCTGACGACGAGATACGTGCCCTCTGGAACACTCCACTTCTCCTCGCCTGCGGGAATATCTGCAGATCTGATGCCCATAGCCTGTTCCCAAGAAACAAGTGGACCAGCCATTCCGAACACGCCCTGCATGTTCACAGGGGACGGCCCGAGCGAGAAGCCGGGAGGGAGGTTAACAGGAACGTCACGACGATGGTCATAGAAGTCGAGACAGAACTGGTTGTAAGCCTCCATGCCGCCGTTCCACATGCGAATCGTGTAATCCGAGTCAGGAATCCTGACGGAAAACAAGTTCCAATCGCCTCGCCTCGGTTTCACCTACGAAACAGCGTGAATCAGCCAGTGATACGACAGTACCAATGCCGAGATGCAAGACGGCAACACAAGTGACCTACCCCGATCACGCGCACTCCCCCCAGACGCTTGACCTCTTCCACACGCCGATTCATGCCGTCGATGTATTTCTGTATGTTCCCGTCGTTGGCCCCTGGGAAGTGATCTTTGATTTCCTGATGGAGCTCAGCCTCGGTCATAGGCTTCCAGCCAGGGAGGACTTCCATCAAATATTCATCCCCCTTGTAGAACGCTTGGGGATGCGCGGAGGATGATGGCTGGGACCCAGAACCGCGTGACTGATGCGCTGAGGACCGAGGAGGGCGTGCGGGAGAAGAATTGGGGGGAGTGAGGGGCTACGGAACCCATGCAACCTGATCAGAGGGAGCTCGCGACAGGAAACTATCTACTCACAAGCGACGAGCGATGCATTGTGGCGATTAGTGGGGAGGATGGGCAGAGGCGAAGCAGGTAGGTGGTCGACGCGACACAACCTGCAAGAAGCGCCGATGTTGAACGCCTGATATAGCCAATTAGCGCTGGTGATGATAGGGCGGAGAGACAAAGCTTCGATAAAGCCCCTTTGCCAACAATGGGCGCATGAACGTCCAACCTGCCACCTGCCTCAGGAGACACGCTCTTGCGCACCGTCTCTGGGGCATGGCAAGCGAACGTGTGAGCCTTTTGTTTTCGTATTGATTGTTCTGGCAGTCGGAAACATTCGGAGATCTGCCGTGCTTGATGTTATGTTCTGAATTCAACTTCTAGATTTGGAACCTGTATTGTTTGCCCGGGTTAGGGCCACTCTATTTTTGGGGACCCTGACGCCGTTGATGATGGGTAAGCGAAACTAACCGACGAGTTTAGGGGTTGACACTCTCCTCTCCTCTCACGAAGTGCCCAATCGACGAGGAAAGTATTCGTCCTGGAGATACCCGTAGTTATATCTTTCTGTGGCCTTTGGGATGTGGTAGACCCCCTCGGAAGACAACGAGCGCGAGGAATGAGGTTGAAGCGTCGGTTTGTGCCATCAGTCGCCATGTGGCTTCTCAACGTGTCTAGCGGCCAACGTCCACAAGAATTGAGCAGTCCTATTGTGCTTTCTTGTCAGTTTCCGACTCATTGTTCTCCTTTCTGCTGCCCCTTTGTTGTTGCGCCAATATATAATCATTCGTCTCGATCGCATGTGTAGTTGTTGCCCCCTCGTCCAAGTCGCTATGCCCTACGAAGGCTTCTTAGGCTCTGAAGGCTCTCGTTTCTATGGGCAGCATACTAATGATATCCACTATTACAATTACCTTCCTCCCGGTTTAGATCCGAAAGTCAGACAACGCGCCTCGGCAATCGCTCAAGGTCTCACCTTCATCAGCGCGGAGCGACGTGTCGCGGTCCATTTGAAGGCGAACGGCTGGCCGATACATGAAGTTTGGGTCCCCAGTTACCACCACTTCTGGTTTGTTCGCGTCTTAATCAGGGGCCCATCCCAACCTGGTTGGTTCCCTCCGTGGGTAAGTGAGCAACTTGACTATCTTCTCTTTATTTACACGATCTGCATCGGTAGCCACAACCCGTTGAAGAACAGGCCGCGTGGGCATGGGTAGGAGGCCAGTGGCGGCCTGGACATCCTATTAGATGGTTCTACGAGAGCATCGAATGGCAGATGGATGTGGATGGTGTTCCGATCCCGCTCTTCTATCACGAGCACGAAAGGCGTGAAAGGGGTGAACATTACATCACACTGCGCGTCGAGGAAGAGGGGAAATCCTGTGAGATTGAGAACCTCTGCTTTGGGACACAGCTTCAAATATATCGTCGTGCAGAGAACGACTAATCGGCGTGAGTAGATATTGCCCAGGCCACCCGCTGAAAGCTTGCTAATGCCACTGTGGACTCTAGGCAGTAGCCTCCACTTGGTCTTCTTCAATCCGCATGGGGCTCCATCCTTGCATTCATTTCACCACAATATGCTGGGTATCTATTTACATGAGCATTTGCGGTAGTACCCGAGACATTTGCTGGCTTTTCTGTACTGTCTAGAGAAATGAGTGTCACCGACGTCGAGTTTCCTAGACAGAGGATAGAACGTTAAGCCAGATAGCTGATGATGTTAGATCAGGATTGAGATTATATAAACGAGTCTTGGGGTTCATTTCGCCGCGCGCTTGAGCGGCCAGGGCGACGCGGGAACATAAGGCGATGTCCAGGAGTCCTGTTGCGATGACCTGCAGCGCGCGGTTGGCACGAAGGATCTTCGGCGAGCTTGCCACTGGTGACGGTGGATTGCCATATTTCGATGATTTCTGTCTGTAAAGGTCATCTGTAAACAAAAGGCGTACCTTACGCGCCCACCCCATCGACTTTTCGCGAATCAAACACAACCAATTTCAGGCTACCCAGCACGGCAAAAATTCGAGGTATTTCGGCGCAAAGGAGAGGCAATAGGCAACTCCTCACACCATCTTTCGATGTCTTTTGTCCGGAAAGGCTTACCGCATGCAACTTTCGTCGATGTAAACGACTGTCGTCACATAGCCGGTCTCGACTGACAAAGGGCTGCCGTCCAAACGTTCAACATTAGCGCTTCTTGAGGTTGTGTCGCGTTGACCACCTGCTTTGTCTCTGCCCATCCTCTCGACTAGTCGCCACAATGCATCGCTCGTCGCTTGTGAGTAAATAGTTTCCTGTCGCGAGCTCCCTCTAATTAGGTGGAAATGGTTTCCGTAGTCCCCCACTCCCCCCAATTCTTCTCCCGCACGCCCTCTCCGGTCCTCAGCGCATCAGTCACGCGGTTCCGGGTCCCAGCCCTCATCCTCTGCGCATCCCCAAGCGTTCTACAAGGGGGATGAATATTTGATGGAAGTCCTCCCTGGCTGGAAGCCTATGACCGAGGCTGAGCTCCATCAGGAAATCAAAGATCACTTCCCAGGGGCCAACGACGGGAACATACAGAAATACATCGACGGCATGAATCGGCGTGTGGAAGAGGTCAAGCGTCTGGGGGGAGTGCGCGTGATCGGGGTAGGTCACTTGTGTTGCCGTCTTGCATCTCGGCATTGGTACTGTCGTATCACTGGCTGATTCACGCTGTTTCGTAGGTGAAACCGAGGCGAGGCGATTGGAACTTGTTTTCCGTCAGGATTCCTGACTCGGATTACACGATTCGCATGTGGAACGGCGGCATGGAGGCTTACAACCAGTTCTGTCTCGACTTCTATGATCATCGTCGTGACGTTCCTGTTAACCTCCCTCCCGGCTTCTCGCTCGGGCCGTCCCCTGTGAACATGCAGGGCGTGTTCGGAATGGCTGGTCCACTTGTTTCTTGGGAACAGGCTATGGGCATCAGATCTGCAGATATTCCCGCAGGCGAGGAGAAGTGGAGTGTTCCAGAGGGCACGTATCTCGTCGTCAGACGGGCTGATCGTCCTGGGCAGGACTTCACGTTCGCGGTGCCGCGCAGGCAAACTCCACAGGCTGAAATAGCGCAACCTGTATTTGGGAGGCGACCATAGATACTACACATAGACAGTCAAAGAAGCCTCTGTGCACACGAATTGATAATTTGTCAAGACCTTGGCTCAGACGAATGCCATGCGGCTGTATGGAGGCGAGGTGGGCACTTACCATAGCACTTACAGCGCGTCTCAAAACGATGACCCTCTCGAAAGAAACACGCTCAAGCTGATTAGCAGCGGAACCGTCTGCGAGCATAATCCGGCCGTCTGACGCTCTGGAACTGCAATAAGCAGGGAGTCCAAGCCGTCTTCAAGATTCTCAGTGGTGGTGTCATGACTGGTGAACCGGGCTCGTATTTGTGGCCGTTCTCCAATCGATTCGAGCGTATTTTTTGAGAGGGCATCTTTGTGAAAAGCGCTGAAGAAGAAGTGAGCATGTGCTCACGCGCATGCCTCGCTATGACAATGCGGAGACAGGGAGAAGCCTTCGAATGTAGACCGCGGAAGCTACAACAACACCAATCAACAGCTGTCCCACATATTATATGTTCATTGTTCTACGACCAATTCCGTATCTAGCTCCCATTCCTCGCGATTTCTTGCGCAGCCATTCGCAATAGTATAATCCTAGTCTATACTCGATGCGTTTCGTTGCCAAGACTTTAGTTCACACCGCCGTTCCCTTGTCGCCATCTACGCCGGCTTCCACTCAAAGTGGTGTTCTCCTGAGTGAAGAAGTCAGTGCTCTAACATTTCCGACCGTGCTCTCGTCATTCCGTACCTTTCTTCACCTCTCCGTCTCCGTCTGACTTCAGATCGTATGAATGCGCGCCGAAGTAATCCAGCTCTGCCTCCATGAACTGGCTTGGCAGATGTTTTCCTCCACAGTACTTGAAGAATTCATAGCTTGCACTCAAGGTTGGCCTGCTCCATCTCATGTTAGCCTGTCCCAACTGTCTGTCGTCTTGACTTACACATGTGCGTTCCATTCCAGACCGTACTGCACCACCTTCCGCAGGTGCGGGATCGTCCTCGTAATCTCGTCCGCGACCGGTTGCAGAGTCAATATGTTCTTCGTTCCCGGTTCCTTCTCCAACAGCGGCTGCAGCAGGTCAGCAATATACTCTGACCGGATGATGCACCCCTCGCGCCAGATCCGGATGCAACTAGCCAAGCTGACGTTCCAGCCTTCGTCCGCACTCGCACGGGCGATCAAGTTCAGACCTTGCGTGAACGATGCCAGACATGCGCAGTAGACTGCCAATCGCAGATCCTCGAAGAACTCCGTCTTGAACTTGTCCTCGACATGTTGCTTCCGAGCCGCACCTATCGATTGGCCGAGGGCTTCCACCACCTGCATTCTTTCAGCCCGGTCGGCTGAAGCAATCCTGAAGAAGTGTGCCGCCGCAATGGTGGGCGCGGAGACATGTCGTTTGGCCGCTTCCATCACAGACCAGACACCGGTACCTACAATAAAACAGTCTATACCAGTCCTTTCCGACGCGACGCTCAGACCTACCTTCGCTGTCATCTGCGTCTTGGACGACCTTGTCTTGGACCTCATTGACAACATGTCCAGGTCGATCTTCCTTGTATCGCCGGCAAATGTCCGCACCAATTCCCACCAGGAAATTGCGTCTCTTGAAACACGTATGTCAGCGTGTACGAGTGCACACATGCCATGGGACGTACCAACTCCCCTCCGTCCTCCCACTTCTTGAAGATCTGCGATATCGTGCCGAGGTCGGTGTGCAAGCATTTGTACAGGAGCTCCCAAGTCTCGCTGACGATGCCTAGAATGCCCTGCTCGATCCCATTGTGCACCATCTTCACGTAGTGTCCACATCCTGCCGGACCGAGGTTTGCGACGCAGGGTTGGCCCGTCTTGGGATCTTTCGCCGCGATTTTCTCCAGCAGAGGCATGACGCGGTCCAGCGCGGCTTTGTCGCCGCTGGGGGAGATAGAAGGACCTCTGCGAGCAGACTGATACCCGCCCGAGACACCCATACAGAGGTACGCAATACCCTCTGGCGCGAGCTGCTTCTGCCTGCGTTCGGCGTTTTCATACCACTCGTTCCCGCCGTCCAGGATGATGTCGCCATGTGAGAGGTGCTCGTGGACGTCAGCAATCACCTTGTCCGCGGCTGAGCCGTGAGGGATACTGAATACGAGAAGTTTGTCCGCGTTCTGGCCGCCGAGGCTCTCCATGAATTGGTCGAGATCCTTGAACCGGGCGACACGGTGGTGCAGTTCTTTGTCAAGACCCTCTTGCAACGCATTGTAGAGGTTGTCGATGTTCTGGCCGCTGACATCGTACACGGACACTTGCAGGTCGTTCTCCGCAAACAGCATGGTCATACAGGAGCCCATGGATCCGGCACCTACGATCCCTAGCTGCGCGCAATTGCTTATGAGCGTGGTTTGCCGGGAAGGCGGGAGCGTCGCCTCACCTTATCGAACGGCTGTGACATCGTCGCTGAGTGGTAAGAGAGAGAACAGGAGAAGGGGGTGGCGGTGGAGGAGGAGGAGCTGGAGGAGGATGAGGAGGATATATGCGCGTTGTGGATTGCAAGGATATGACATCATCGGATATTATACTTGATACATTTATGGTACATTTACCATTCCGGTGCTATATCGTGGCACACTTGGTTATTCGACTACTGCGTTGGGTATATTCTCTTCTCGCCCCCGCCCTCCGTACGTCGCCCTCCTCACTGAGTAACCGGTTGCGGGCGGGGTCTTGTGACTTCTTCATAGATGAGCACTGTAGGAGACAGTCAATGTCCAGCCAGTCATGTACGACAACCAATGTAGCACTCGCCTTTCAGTTGCTCCTTTCCGAGGGGATCGCCGTTGTCAAAATCAAAGAAGCTCGGATCTAACGGTTCGGCCGTGGGCTCATCGGACGGATCGTGATATGCCTGCATCGGTAGTCAATACGGACACCGGAGGCCATCTTGCTCGCAAATCCACTGACCTCCAAGTAGGGATGCTTCAGCGCGTCTTCTACTTCAATTCGTCGCTTAGGGCTGAACGTTAAGCACTTCTCCATCAGATCAATCGCCTGCGAGACATGAGGGTGAGCGCGTGAATTTCCAGAGCACTCCACGGGCGACCCATACGAGCGGATTGGCAGTGGGGAAAAGTTGACTAAACGGCTTCTTCTTCCGGAAGGGCAAGGCACGTATATATTCGCGGGAACGTTGCGAAGTGATCGCGTAGAAGTCGTCGAGCGATGGGGTGCCGAGAATATCCAAGATGATAGACAGCTGGTGGTGGTCTTCAGAGCCCCTCTCGTGGTCAGTAAACTTAGACGACACTTGGGTTGCCTGGGAAACAAGGTCGTCTGGGTGTACGTACAGTCTCTGCCCGGAAAGAGCGGCTTGCCACTGAGCATTTCTGCGAGAACACAGCCGACACTCCATATATCGATAGCGCGGGTGTATTCCTTGAACGTGAGCATGACTTCTGGGGCGCGGTACCACCTGCGACCACGGGTGCAGAGGTCGTGAGCGCCACGAGGCCGAGAGGGTGCGGATATCGGATAGTGGCATGGAGATGCGTACCTGGTTGCGACATATTCTGTCATGAACGTGCTACTGTCATTTGCGACATTGGGCGGGGGTCGCGCGGATCGAGCGAGACCGAAATCGCAAAGCTAACGGGGACGTGGGGAGAGTGAGGTCGAAGCAGGATTTGGGGTCGCGCGATATGCGCCATTGGGATGGCGGGGAAGGCTCTTGCAGGCTTATGGAGACATACCTTGAGATCGCAGTTTGCGTTCAGCAGGAGATTAGACGGCTTCAGGTCGCGATGGAGTACGTCGGCTGAGTGGAGTGCTTTAAGAGCGCGGAGGGTCTACGGCCAACGGCGCGTGGGCGCAAGGAACAATACGAAGACCGAGGAGTGTGCTCGGCTGAGCTCGAGAGCAGCGGAAGAGGAGACAGGGAGGCATACCTGATAGATGAAGTATTGACAATGGTCATCGCTGAGCTGCTGGGTGCGGATGACACGGTGGAGATCGGTTTCCATGAGCTCCTGAACGAGGTAAACCTCTTTGAAATCGTCTAGGCTTGGTGGGCGGAGGATGTCGAGTATTGAGATGATGTTCTCGTGGTGGAAGTGGCGGAGAAGCTTGATTTCGCGGAGGGTGCGGAGACAGAACATGGAGTGGTCGAAGGGAGTGATGCGCTTGATGGCAACCTTTCGCTGGGATGGGACGTGGAGAGCAGAGCTGAAGGGAGAAGGGGGGGACGGTGAGGGAGTGGATGGGAGGGAGGGGAGAGGACGGACCAGACGATGCCATAGGCCCCTTCGCCGATGACGTCGAGGACCTGGTAGTTGCTGCCGACGATGAAGGAGGACATGCGGTCGTCCATGGTGGGGAGGGGCAGCGAGGGAAGGGGGTGAGATGGAGGAAGACGGAGAGGACAATAAGAGGTGGTGGCAGAGGCCGAGTCTGAGAGCGCACGCGCGCGAGACGCTGTCGAGTGCGGGCGTCTGCGTGAGCGTCTCGCGCGATGCTTCCTGTTTTGGGCAGCTCATCGGCCTCGCCCTCGCCACAAGCGTCGCCTGTTCCGCAAGTCCACCCTCCCCGTCCTTGTCCTCGTCCCCCCGCCGAGCAGCGACAGTCTCCCCCGTGACCCCGCAACCATCCTCGCATTCGCACAAAATGCCCGCCGCAGATGCCAAGCGCAAAGACAACGACTCCGTCCCCGACTCTGCCCGCGACGGCGCCGACAGAGACAGAGATCGCGAGAGGGACAAGGGCTCAAAGCAGAAGGCTTCCGCAAAGAGTACGTCCACCACCTCACCGTCTTCTCCAAGCTTCCTCTTACACCCGCCCTTTCCCTCGCCTGCCCAGCCAAGGACCTGTCCCATGTCCCGTGCAAATTTTTCAAAGTCGGCTCCTGCACCGCAGGCTCTTCTTGCCCCTTCTCCCACCAGGTCCTCGAACCTGGCCAGCAAAAGGAGGTGTGCGCCTGGTTCGTCAAGGGCAACTGCAAATTCGGCCACAAGTGCGCCCTCGCCCATGTCCTCCCCGGCCAGAGCATGTCCATGGACCGCAAGAATAAGAAGGCCGCCCAACTTGCCGCCAACGGCGCAGGCGGTACATCCACCAAGGACGGCCCAAAATCATCCAGGGCCCACAAGGGCCCTCACCACGCCGGTCCCGCAACGGGTCAATCTCGCAATGCTCTCCTCTCTGGATCCACCGCTCCCACTCGTGCTCTCGCTGGGAACGCTCGTTCGCCCATCCCCATGCCTCTCAAAGCTACTCTCTCCCCATCCGCCCCCGCCCCCCCTGTCAAAGATACCGACTTTGCGTCTTTCGGTCTCCTCCCAGACGAGAGCAACAAGCTCCCGAGCGCCCCCGCTCAAGGCAAGGCCTCCGGAACATCTATCAACGAGGGGGCTCCTGCCCCCGAATCCGAGCAATCTCCTCAACCGCAGCTGGCGAACGAGGACTCCACTGCCAACACTCATCGTGCCTCTCCCGCACCTCTCCCCACTCACGCGCCTTCTGCCCCTCGTCGAATCAGCGATGCTTCAGCCATAGTCGACTTTGGTCCTATAGGTTCCCCACCTCGTGCCTCCTCCTCCTCTAGCAGACCTGCTCGTATCAACGGCTTTTCGCCTGGTACATCCCCTCAGCCGCAAGGGCTATCCACTTCTCCCTTCTCGGCCCCCGGAACTCAGTCTGTCTTTAACCTCCCGAGACACGACGACGGGTCTTCAGACTTCAAAACCCGGTCTGGACTCTCAGCGTCTCTCGGCGCCATGAACTGGGGTTCAGAAACCGTCATCACCCGCAGGATTGGGGTCGAGGAGGTGGTTGTCGAGGACGAGGATCTTGAGGAGTTCTTGCCCAGCTCCCTCACCGATCTTCTCACCCCCGAGGAACGTTCGCGGAGAATGTCGCGCACGCACGCTACCCGTCCCAATATCGGCCTGGAGCGCGAACCGAGCGCCCAACGTTCTAGCACTGAAGCCCACCACCGCTACTCGCGCTCAGTCCCCGCACCGTCTCTTCTACAAGACATCAAGTCTATCTGGGCCGATGCGGGCGGCGTGCCTATCGGTTCTCCAGATGCTGCGACGCTCGGGACTAGTCATCTCGGTGGAGGTTTAGGGAACGGTACCCCTAGCTCTTTCACTTCAAACTCCGGTCTCGCGCCCCGTGCCGAAGAAATGCTTTCGCCATCGAATGCGTCGGCTGCGTTCCTCCCAGGTTTGCACCACTACATCAACGCCAAGACGCCACAGCGACCGACCATGGTCTCGGGCCTGTCGGCGATGTATTCTGCAGGTGCAGGCGCTCATAACCTATCTTCCACTGCGTACGGGCTGGAGTTCAACGGCCCACCGATGTCTCCGCCACACGCCGGCACCTACGGCGTGCCACCGCCAAACGATACTTACCTGCAACATGGAGGTCGTCGGCCAGGGGGACGACCCATCCCAGGTGATGCTTTCGTCCCGGGTATCGACGAGCAACGAAGCGCTCTTTCTCCTTCTTCGCGCGCTCTGCAAGCGCACGCTCCGGGGCAAAGCCTTCCCCAAGGGCTCGCGGCTGGCTATTCTCGCATTCACGCGTTACCCCCTCCAGTGATCCCATCGCCGTCGTCCTCGAGCATCCTCAGCCGACCCCCCCTCAGTGGCGGTTTCTCTCCGGGCACCAAGGGCCTGGGCCATGGGCACGGTACGTCCGGCGATTGGGCGAGTATGTCCCCTACGGCGAGCAGTCTGCTCGACCAAATTAACAACGGACCGTCACAACCCGCTCCCGCGGGCTCTGGAGCGCCGGGCACATCATTGGGTGGTCTAGAGACGATGTTCTCTCGTTTGTCATATTCAGCCGCTGCATCTCGTACGTTTGCCTTTTGTCTCCCTTAATCGATGTGAGTTAATGTGTCGATGCTTAGGTACCGGTGCGCCCACCGGTATGGGAACGCGCAATCCGAGCGGGCGAGGATCCCATCCTCAAGGATCTCTCAGCCCGCTGAGTGGCCCGGTCCTCACGGGAGAAGACGATGACCTGTTCTCTATGGAATGAGATTCATCGCTAGCAGGATCCTGCGCGAGCATAGGCACATTGTGAAGTACTGTAGAAACATCATCTGTTGTAGATTGGGTCCTTGATACCGACATAGTGCGGTTAGTCGTAGTTGCATGGTCTCCTTTGGCTTATACCACCGCGTCTCTTCTCCGTTGTGTCCTGCCTATGGACGTAGATCTGCGAGTGTACAAAACTGTCTGAGCGCAAGCGGATCCGTTACTCCGCAGCCCTAGCTGACTCCCGTTGTGTAATGACGCGTTTGGGCCGCAACTTCATGACAGAAGCAGAGCCTTGTCGTCGTCGTCGCGGTTGCGGTGGTGAAGTTCATACCACCCCGCCGCTACAAATATTGTTGCTAGGCTCCTAGCCACTTGATCAACAACTAATAGTACAATTCTGCAAGAGTGGACGTACATGACGCGCTTCGAGAAATAGCGCCCCTACCTTCTATATATAGCAAGTTTTTCAACGTCCGCTTCTTCTCCATGGAACCTTCGCCACCGCTACTAGGCGTGTTCAATTCTTGTCGCTCGCTCATTTCCTCGCGCGCTTAACGGGCGCCTGCCTACCTGGATTCAAGGTCAGATCAAGCGCCTGTAGCACAGCAAGCAGAGGGAGGCAGGCGGCGGGTGCAACATGACCACATGAGGGTCGCGAGCTGGGACTAAGGAGCGCCGCGAAAACTTGACGATTCAAAATCTAGAGAGCTCTATGACTCGAGACGCGGAGTCGTCCCGCAAGGTTTTGGGTCCAATTGCCATCAGGCTTACAGCGACAACCCCAGGTGAACCGTATGTATGTCGTGTCGAATCTGGTTCGGATTTGGGCGCATTGTGTACGATTATTCTCGAGCAATGAGTCTATAACGCTCTCCCAATGTCTCTATCCACTCTCCGGACAGGTTTTCTGGGTATAACAAACCTAGCATAGGACGATCCCGTCAATCTCGCTGCACCCGCTGCCTGCGCACCTCTACTTGCTGTGCTACAGGCGCTTGATCTGACCTTGAATCCAGGTAGGCAGGCGCCCATTAAGCGCGCGAGGAAATGAGCGAACGACAAGAATTGAACACACCTACTTCATCAACCGAACTCATCAACAGACTTGTGTATCTGATGACCAGCATACGAAGCACGCCCTTTCATATATCCTGAAGTTGTCATGTTCTCGCACGACTCACAGGTAAGTATATTGCCCGCAGCATGTGAACTAAATGAACACTGATGTTTTCTCACATCGTTATGCTACAAGCCATGTCCCTTGTTCCTCTACGGCACGCTTTGAGCCACTCTTGGCTTGGGCGATGTTTGGAGATGCTAAACACGTCGATGCAGTCCAGTCACTCGTTCAGCCTGCACGCGTCCAAAAATATGCCTGGTTTTCCCTGCGAGGAAAGGACTACCTGGCCGTCATTAAACACGATGTCGACGTGCCAGCAGTGGTCGATGGGCTGTGTTGCGGCGACTAGGCGCGTAGACTCGGGTCGACGTTCGACGACGACCCCGTAGGCGAGCGGCAAGGAGCCGAAAGAAAAAGAGAGAGAGAGAGAGAGAGGGATAAATGTGACAAGTGTTATGACTGACTGTCGAGCGAGTAAGTGGAGACGAGTGAGGCAGGGTTAGGGAGGGAGATCGAAACCGAGCGAAGCGAGGTGAGATCGACCGGTTAGGGTTGAGGGTGGGTTAGGCGAGCTGAGTCAACGGGGGCGTTGTGTGCTACAACGTCCCGTCCCGTTTCGCCTTTTATAGCTCATCAGGACTCTGCTTAGTGCATCCCTTTCGGGAAGTGCTTATCTCTTTGCCGTCTGTCTATCCGACGGCACAGGAGATAAGGTCAATTATGCTTACGATGCCGAACGCGGCCGGAGCTTTGTTCCGATAATGACTAAGTCCGATCGGACTATGTCATCATGATTACTTACTTACTAATCACCGATCGGACTTAATCTTATCGCATCTCTAAGTGCGTGTAGCGCTTAGATAAGATAGTCCGCCCTTATCCTTATCTTATCAAAGATGGAAGAGTGGAGACGCACCTGACTTGATGTCACATGCTGTTAGACACGTGACTCAAGCGCCCTAGTACT